CCATTGCTTAAAGGTCTGCATCTGGCTAGGATTCTCATGTTAGGTTGCAGTTACACGAGTAAACAATCTGTTGTAGAACTTTTTGTGTCCTTCTGGGTGAAAAATGATGCCCAAGCTGCTGCTACTATAGCATTACACTACTGCTGGAAAGTGTAGCTTCCACAGGAGCCAGCTGTGCTGCAGAGAGCAGGTACACTACAAGGTCATGGGGCTGCTGGAGTGATGCCTTCTTGCATGTTGATCTGATCAAAACGTGGCTGGGGAATCTCTCTCTGGGCTGGGATGTGTTAGCTCAGCACCTCTCTCTGCTGTTTGCAGGTCAGTGCACGTGTTTGTGCATGAATTTTGGGTGGATTCCCATGCCATAACCAGCAGTGGGAATTCTGTGGGCTTTCTCTGTTAGGGTGTCTTTCATGGGGCAGCAATACACCAGGGAGCATTTTACTTTGGCCTGAGCAAGACATTTTGAAAAATACCTGGTTTTCTTGGAGCACTATATTTAAATTCCAAATTTTGAATCAATTTGTGACGTTTGTATTTATATGTTTGGGAAATTCTTTTGATACCTTTTCAATTTACCAACACTGAATTAAAACCTTTCAGAATGTATGGTTGGTCCTCTCCTTATGTGTCACTTTAAGTTTCAGAGCATGAGGGTAGTTGTGCCAAATCTACTCCTTTGCTCTCAAGACAGAAAAAAAACCATTGACAATTCATGGGTGGCAGCTAAGGAAGAAACCCTTTAAATATTTTTTTTTCAGAGAATATTAAATTAGATCTGTGTAAACATAAAATTTATATTTATTAATGTGTGAGTGTGTGAGCGTGTGTGTCAATATAGATATATAAATGGTCCATGACTATTTCTTTCTCTTGAATGGTACTTACACAGACTTTTATACAGTGTGTTGGTAATTCCTGCACCAGGCACTGACTCTGAAAGAATGATAAACCTATTTTTGTAATGAATGTGAGCAGCCAGTGGAAGCAGCTTTACTTCAGTGATTGCTTTCATTCCTCTCACAGAGCAGAAGAGGCAGCTTGGTACTTGCATCTTCCTTGTGTAGGATCCCTGCTTCTGCCTTTGTCCTGCTTGCAGCAACCCCAGCCCACGCTGCTTTTCTGGCAAGAAACCCCTCCCAAATGGCACTAATGAAAGCTGGAATCCTTTCTTGTCTGCAGTTCTCTCTTGATGCAGTATCAGGGAGTTCTTTACAGATTCTGCTCTGTCAGTAATGGGACCTGCTTTCTAACAGAGGAGATTGATGGGGGGCCCACGAGGATGTTGTAAGGCTGAGGAATTCCTCTCTGTCAGGTGGCTAAGCTAACACTGGGGCACTAGGAAATTGTTTCTTTTCCTCTGTGGTGAGATTATTTTCCTTTTGTCATGCTTCTGTCTCTTTTTGGGGTGAGGTGGGTCTATATCCTCTTCCAAACAAGCACAGAAGAGTTTTTCTAATGTTTCAATTCACAGGGAGTAAATTTTACTCAACTGGCCAAAATTCAGGTGTGATTTAATTCCACAGGGATCACTAAATTCACAGAAGGGTATGTTTTGAACCACTTGGATCTTTTGAGAAGAAAAGCAAGTTATATTTGACTTCCTAATCCCAATTGCTCTTCCAGAAATTTTCTGTGAGGATCTGAGTGAAAGCTTCACCTCAGCAATCCCTGCCTGGTGATGGGGCTTCAGTTCTTCAGGGAGGACAGGGCTGGTGATAGGAGCAGTGAAAGGAAGCAGCTTTCCTCCTCATCCAGCAGAAAACAGCCCCTGTGAAGCCCAGACTTCCCCCAATATTTGGTTGTGTCTGCTGCCAGGTTATGCTGTGATCTGGACCTCTCTGTCCTGCTCCTACCCCACCTCACTTCCACCTAAAGCAGTCTGAGACAGAGCCTTCCTTAAAGCTAAGGGCAATGGTGAGGAGAAATGCCTGCTAGCTGAAGAAAAATGAGATTTAAATGGAGCAGAAAAAGTGAGAATCCCTTCTGTTTCACTGTCTTGCTGCTAAAAGTCTGGTGCAGAACATCCTGATGTTCTGCTGATTTATATGCTGCTCTGGGGAGGTGGGCAGGCTGCTAAGTTGGCTCTGTAGCAATTGAATTACTGTAAACCTAAACTTGCTTAATCTCTCTTTTTTTTCCTCCCTCAAAAGGGCTTGGAGTAGAGGGAACCAGAGTATTGTTTGTAAGATCTTTTTGCTTTAATAGAAAACAGAATGTAAAAAAAGAAAAAAAAAAAACCAAAAGCAAAACCAAACTCATTCAAATATAGTGATACAGAAAATGGCTTTAAAATATGAAAATCTTACAAGACCATGTGTTGTGTTGGGTTCTGGACATGCTGTTTGTGCTGAGGGGGCTGGCCTTGCCCAGCCTGCCAGCCAACCTCCACGTAGCCAAAAAGAGCATTTTGAGAGTCTGTAGCTATCCAAAGGACTGTTAAAAGCTGTTTAGGGATAAATCAAAAGCTGTGTGTGAGCAACGGATGGTAAAGCTGGAAATTCAAATCCGACCCTGAATAATTGCTCTAATAAAAAACAAATTCAGAAAAATCCAACTCTCCCCCTGTTCTGCAGATGCTCATTCCCACTGAGTCCCTGGGGAAGGCTGAGAGGAGAACCTGAAATACCTCAGTGGCTTCACAGAAGGGTTTGCTACAGAGATCTGGGCCAGCCTTACCCCTTTCACCTCGGTTTGGCACTTATTTTATAAAATAAGAAGGTGATGGAAAGGGGAAACTAAAGCCATGCTTGCATTTCAGTTCCTGGTGTTGCCTGTGCAAGACACCTCCAGCCAGATGTTTTGGGGTTTGTGGGGTTGTTTTGTTTTTTGTTTGTTTTTTTTTTTTTTTACAGCTGATATCAAAAGTTGTTTTGGGGTTTTTTTGTGACTTGTTTTCATTATCAGTGCTTTTTAAAAAGCAGGTGTGTTTCCCAAGGGGCAGTGGATGTGAAGCTCATGTTCTTTCTCTGGCCATGTTGCTGCTCCTGTGAGGTGCTGGAGGCAGCCCTGGCTCCCAGCAGGGTGTGGGATCCTGCATTTCCACTTCAGATGGGATACAGTGGTTTTGTTTGTTTGTTTTTTTAATATAGAGCCATACATTTTTTAAGTAATTTGAGATCTGAATGTGATTTCTAATGTATCGAGAACGTTAATATTTTAAAGCTATAACAAAGGTTTAAATTTCTACTTTTTTTTTTTTTTTCATTTATTTTAACTGTTCTGTTACCTTAATTTGATGTATGTGGTTGGGGAATGTTGCTTCTCCTCTTAGCATTTGTTTCTATAACCAGAAATAAAATTATATATGAAAGAGAAAACGCCCTGAAATTGCTTTGCTGTTTTTGGGTGCCAGATTTGGCTCCTTGCAGTGTAACATCCCAGGGGGGTTGAGTTTCCTGCAGCAGTGAGGGGACTGTGTTTAATATTTTTTCTTTTTTTTTCCTGTAGGAAGGAAGTGTGTATGTGCACACCTTGCAGTGTTTGGAGTTCAGACTCCCCACTTTTGATCCCTTGTCAGTTATTTGGGCAGCTGTTGGCTCACAGCAGAGTGAACATATGGACTTGTGTGTTTGAGATCTGTGATGCTTCCCCTGGGGCTTGTAAAGGATTCCTCCAGCTCCAGCTTTTGTTTTGTCATGAAGTGAAACATTGTTATTTTGAAAGTTAAACTATTCCAGTGTGTTCCCCTGTAATTTATAATAATTGTTTTCATTTAAGCCTGTGAGATCAGAAAACAACACTTTATCTGTCTTGTAGTTGGACTTTTCCTCCTTTTTCTTCCTAATGCAGCTGCAGTTTAAGTTCTGGGTTTATTTTGACTAAACATTCTTAGCTCCAAAATTAAACAGTAATATCTTTTAAGGCTTCAATTGGTATCAAGTAGCTGTAATTCATAGAATTATAGAACCATGGAATGGTTTGGATTGGAAAGAACATTAAAAGTCAGCTCATTCCAGTCCTTGCAGGGACTCTTTCCACTATCCCAGGCTGCTCCAAGCTCTGTCCAGTCTGGCCTTGGGCACTTCCAGGGATGGGACAGCCACAGCTTCTCTGGGAATCTGTGCCAGGGCCTCAGCACCCTCACAGGGAAGGATTTCTTCCCACTCTTCCATCTAACCCTGCCCTCTCTGTTTGAAGCCATTCCCCTTTGTCTTGTCACTCCATGCCCTTGTAAAAAGTTCCTCTCTTCCTCGTAGTCTCCCTTCAGTTACTACAGGGAGGATTTTTTTTTAATTGACTAACTAATTAAAAAATTAATAGCACAGTACACAGTGAGCAAATGTATTAATCCAGAGCCCTTTCTGGGGATGTATTTTAACATTATCCTGCCTTTGGCTCCCCACGTGCTGCTCTCTGCTGGCTGATTGCCCAGGCATGGTGCTAATGAACCTTAATGCCAGGAGAGCACAGGGCAGGGAATTACCAAAGGCAAAGTGCCAAATCCCGTCCCCTGGCATCTCCTCCTTGCAGGGCAGTGCTCAGCGAGGTGCTGGCAGCTCCAGCTGTGTTGGCAGTCAGGAGAGAAGGTCCTGATGGATTTTTAACTTCTGCGACTGCTGAAGACTGAGCAGCTGGTTTAACATCTCGTACTGTTTTGGAAAGGTCTGTTTTATGAACAGGTTGCAGGAAAGGCTGATAGATTTATTGGTTTTTATTTACCATCACTCCTGCAGAAGTCCCAACTCTCATCTCTGCCATGTAATGATGTTCTCCATAGGTCTGAGTGCCTAGGGCGGGGTGGCCTCAGCGCTCAGCTTGTTCTCGGTCTCCTGAGGTGGGGGATAATTCAGAGCCCCTCGGACAGTCCTTTTGCAGATAACAACAGAGTCCCTCGGACAGTCCCTTTGCAGCCCCCAGCGCGGATTTTGGTCACCCCGCGCCTCTGCGAGCCCCTCCCGCCGGGCGGAACCTTCGTGCAGCAGCCGCCGCGTCCCCCCGGAGCCGGCGCGCGCGTACCGCCCGCCCATGGGGGACAGCTTTGGCCGCGTACCGTGGCGCGGCGGACCCGGGCGGCGGCGGGGCCGGGATGTTCACGGCGGCTGCCGAGAGCTTCCTCCGGCAGGCCAGGTGCGACAGGGGACAGGGACAGCGGCACGGAGCCCTCGGGCCGGGCGGGGGTGCTGGCGGGAGCGGGGGGGCGGGCGGTGAGTACCCACCCTTCCGCCCGGAGCTTCTCGAGGGGGCCCGGACTCTGACAGCCCCGACCGGCCCGCAGGGAGATCCAGGAGGAGGAACTGCGGAGATTCACCGCCCGTGTGTCCGCCTTGCTGCAGGGCCCCGAGGCCGGCCCCGAGGCCGTGGATGGGCTGCAGAGGCTGCACCTCAGCGTGGCCGCCACCAAGTACCCCCGCAAGTGAGTGAGTGCCCTGCGCGCCCCGGGTGTTCGAGGTGCAGAGCGTTACCTTCTAACCAAAAAGAAAGGGCTTTAAAATAACACGCTGCCTTGAAAACCCTAAGTTCTCTTTGAACACAAAGCCCCTCTTTGCCTTTCACCCCCTTCCTAAGCAGAAGTGCCCATCGCCTTTTGTAGCAAGGTTGACGAGTGTTGGTTGTCACTGAGGCTTCACTCAGAAATGAAGGTGACGTGTGGCGTTAGTCACTGTCAAGGGGATCACCCCAAAGCCAAAAATACACAGGAAATAAACATCTGGATCTTTCCTTGCCTTGCAGTGGTGTTTACTGTGACTCTTGCAGGCTCGATGGCAAGTTTGTGGAGCAGCTGCAGACTGTGCTGTGCTCACCCAAAAGTCCTGAGCAGATTCAGGTGTTGTGTGCTGCCATCCTGAGAGAGATGTCACCTTGCAACGATCTTGTCCTCTCCTGTGATGAGATTCAAGATACAAAGCTCTTGAGCCTGGTCTCCTCTGTCCTTCTGGCTCAGGTAAACGACCTGTCAGATCAGAGATCTTCCCCTGTCAATATGGATTTGCTTTTTGATTGTTCCCTGCTCCTGAGCTCCTCCCTGAGCTCAAGGAGAGTGAAAATCAATTGTAAGTATGTGGAAAAAAACAGAGGTATTTCAATGTTCATTTAAAGGATTTCATTATTCTGCTTTGTATGGGAAAAAAATAGCAAATTTTTGTGTATGGCACTTAACTACAAAAAATGCTTAAAATTATCGTGTTTGGTCACTGAGGTCCTGGAAGCAAAAAGAACCCTTTAGAGCTGGCTGCTGGAATAGATTTCTAATCAGGGTTGCTTGAACCTGGGAAAGATTTTAGATATTCTGCTTATGATATTGGCTTTCATGTTCACATGTAAAGAACATACACAGAACCTACAAAACATGTAAAACTGTAAAAGCAAATGACACTTCAAAGGTCCAGATTCTCCATGAAGAGAAGCAAACTTGAGGATCTCCCTGTTTTGAGTGCTGCCTGGGGAACAAGCTGCAAACTTCTCTTTTTCCTCTCCTTTTACTTGTATTGTGCCTGTTAAAGGTAAAATATTTTTGTGAAACTTCTCGTTCTGAGTTTCACTGTGTGCTTAGAAACCTCTCCAATGTTTGTGACATTCATCTGAGTCTGCTTAACTAAAGGAAATGAAACAGAAACCAGCAGTGTGTTATTTATGTGCTGCCTCACAGAGCTCCTCTCTCCCATATCCAGCCTTGGGACTGTCCTGCAGTTCCACAATGTAAAAACACACATAAGCAGCCCCACAGTTTGGGATCTGTGAATTCAAATTGCAGAAAATCTCTGTAAAACGTGCTAAAATCCCCTGTGCTGTCAGTTCCTTTTGTGCTTGACTTTGCTATTGATGCCTGGTGGAGGAGATTGGTCTCTAGTGAAGGTAAATTATTTATCTTTCCCTCTGCTTTGTTTTTCAGAGCAGCAGGGGTGAAGTGGCAGCTGTGGGGCAGCGTGTTGTGCAGGTCCTTGAAAGAAGACTGCCCGAGGGTCAGAGTGCTCGGTTCCTTCTTCCTGTCCTGGCAAATGTCATCAGCCTTTCTCCAGGATCCCTAACAGAAGGTAAATCTGTAGCAAGGGCTGAGATTGCCACCTGGCTGTGGTCTGGGTACTGATCAGAAGGCTCTCAGCTGGAAGGTGCTGTCAAAAGTGACATCTCTGCTATGAGGAAAGGGAACTTACTGGGTGAGATGTATTCCACCCCACAGAACTGGGATGGGCCTTCAGTCAAACCCTGGCCATGGATTTGTATAACAGGAACATGTGCTCTAGCTGAGGTCTCCACATGCAGCAGGAGTGTGAAATTGTAGCTTATCCTGAAGAGCACCAAGCAAGGAGAGAAGGAAACAGAGATGTGCCTGTGCATGTGGTCAGGAGAGCAGCAGGAACAACTAGAGGTGCTCTTCAGCAGAGAGGCAGCACTGGGTGGGTAGTGGGGAGTTAACCTAGGAGAGCATTTCAGGCTTAAAATGCTGGAGAGCTGTGAGCAAGAGTTTCTGGGAGTTTCCTGTGAGGTTTGTGTGCTCCATGCAGTGCCAGAGAAGCTCTGGGGAGGATGCTGGGCTGGGTGCATGGGCTGGCAGAGCAGGAGGGATCACCTGCCCCAGCTTCTGTGAGCTCCCAGGGAGGGAGTTGTGCTTTGGCTGCAGAGCTGAAGGCAGACACTGCCTGAATAATGTGACAGTGGTTTTGTACATTCCTCCTAACAGCAGCTGTGGATGGAGACAAAGGAACAAGTGTCTCTTGGGTGATCTGGTAGCAGAGTCCTTGGCTCCAGCACTCACTCCCTGGCTGAGGGGGTATGAGGAGTATAGAACATCCACCTTGGGGTACCAGTTTCTTTATGGATTGCTGGGTCAGAGAGTGATCCAGGCTGGAGAAAAAGCACAGCAATTTAGGGTTAACAGGGACATGTTGCAGAGGCTGTTTCTCTGCCCCATCTAGCAATGACCCTGTCACTTCCCTTGTCCAGAACAGACCAATGTTGTCAGTAAAAAGCTGGCTGACTGGCTGAGGTATGCAAGCATTCAGCAAGGAATGGCTCAACCCTCTGGAGGCTTCTTCTCCAGTCCCAGAACCAAACAGGTGAGTGCTGAGTTGCCATGGTGACCTCACTAAAGCATTTGTTAGTCTGTTACCTGCTGGTTTGGATTCCCAGAATCACCTTCTTTTGGAAAACAGTAGTCTAGAAGTGCTGCTAGATTTTTGTGGGATATGTGGTTGAGACACATAGGAAAGCAAAGGGGATTTACAGCTCTGGGATTTAGGAGTTCAGCTGTAGACCCAGAGCTTTGATCCTTGAAGCAGTTGTTAGAGAAGAGTCTTTTAGTGACCCTGTACCTCAGAGTTAAAGGTGCACATGAGAGCAGTGTCAAAGCTGAGTGTTTCAGCTGGGGAGAAGGGGCCAGCACAGCTGGCTTTTCTCTCTCTGCATACCTGCCCTCCTGCAGGACCCCAAACAAGGCCTGCCTGTCTCCATGGGCTCAGTGGGGCTTTCCCTGCCCTCTCACTGAGCCTTTCTCTGGGCTCTGACCTGCTGCATCTTCTCTCTCAGCCTGCTCCTATCACAGAGGTGGATGGTGCTGTTGCCACAGACTTCTTCACAGTGCTCTCAGTGGCTCAGCACTACACACAGGACCAGTGGCTCAACGTGCAGGCTTTCTCCATGCTGAGAAACTGGCTGCTGTGCTATGGGGGCATGGAGCTGGACACCCCTAATCCAGGTAGGGATTGAAGGTGTGGTCTGTGGCCCCAGGAGGGCTGTGTGCTCTCAGATGTCTCATGAGGTGGCTGACCAGCAACCCAGCAATCTCCTCTCTTTCAAACTGACTAGGTCTTAGGAGGAGATTATTCCTTGTGAGGGTGGGGAGGCCCTGGCACAAGTTGCCCAGAGAAGCTGTGGCTGCCCCATCCCTGGGAGTGCTCAAGGCTGGATTGGACAGGGCTTGGAGCCACCTGGGATAGTGGAAGGTGTCCCTGCCCATGGCAGTGGCTTTGGAACTGGATGAGCTTTGAGCCCCTTCCAGCCCAAACCATCCTCTCATTCTGAGTGACAGGAATATGGGCAAGAGTTCAGAGATCTTGCACTAGGAGCAGGGAGAGTTTGGGAAGGAATATCACTAAACCTCCTGACTGATACTTATTCATCCTTCCTTGGGGTATTACTTGTTGGGTGAGTCTCCTGTTTTCAAAGCCCCATGGATTCCTAGGAAGGAAAGCCTGGGTGATGGGAGACAGCATCTCCTTAATATTCTTGTAACATTCCCTTCTCCCTCAGCCTCCTGTTCTTCACTCTGCCCCTGGGGACAATCAGCTGCCTTTCAATTGCTGGCATGCTGCGTGGGTGCCATGGCCTGTGACGAGCTGACACGTGTGATGTTCACTGTGCAGGTGCCTCAGCAGGAGGGGACAGCTCTGTGACACCCTTGGTCCCTGCTCCAGCCACGCCTGGCCGGCTGCTCCCGCCCAGGGAGCGGCTGCGGGACAAAGCCTTCGAGTACTGCCAGCGCCTGGTGGAGCAGAGCACCCGCCGTGAGTCCTGCCAGGGGGAAATAAAATACTGCTGCATCTTTGGGCTGGGATCTCTGGAATCCTCTGCTAGGGATAGGGCCTGCTGGGGGAATGCATTGAGCAGCCCTGGGCTGGGGTGTTGGGAAGGATTTGGAGGCAACAGTCATGGTCTGCCTCCTTGATTTGCAGGGGAGGCTGTGAAACTTGGTTCTCATTGGCCTGAATTTAGGATCTGTGTGTGTTCCTGCCTGCCCTGAAGCCAGGGTTAGTGCTCAAGCTGACAGCCTCATGTTCCTGTGTGGGCTCAAAGCTTAATTTGGACTCATTTCTCTGTCAGGACCCCTGAAGAAAGAAGATGGAGACCTGCAAAAAGCTGTAAGTACACAGGGGTGGGGCTCAAGCTCTGGGGGTTGTGGTTTCCCCCATTCCAATTTTCACTTCTGCTCTCCTGCAGTGTCTCGTTGAGGCAGTGACAATCATGGACATCATCTGCAAACAGGACTCCTCCTACGTGTGCCGTGCTGTCCCCTTCCTGAAAATCCTGCACAGCAGGATCTGTGGGGATGCCTCTTATGCCAGGGCACTGCTGCCCATTGCCCAGTTCTTCCTGAACCACAGTAAGTCTTCAGTCTTGCCTATTCCAGCACAGCCTTTTGTCCTGGCACTTTGCTGCCTGCCAGAGTTGGTAATTCCACTTTGCCTGTGCTCTGCTATGGATGATCCCACCCCAGGAGCTGGGGTGTCCCCTGCTCTTTAGGAGAACATAACCCAGATTTCTCTTAGCCCCTGCAGCCCTGACAGGGCTGCTGGCTGGGCTGGGCTGTGCTCAGCAGGGTGCTGTGTCCTCCAGGCAAACTGGCAGCTGTGGACTCAGATGCCATCTACAAACATCTCTTCAGTGATATCCCAGCTCAGCTCTTCCACAACCCATCATTGGCCTTTGAATTTGTCCAGTTCTGCAAGGACAACAGCCAGCTCTTCACAGACTCCTCCAGCATATTCAGGCAGAGCTTCCCAAATCTCTTCAAGGTACAACATGTTGGAGCAGCAGAGGGGAGAGCCTGCTTCACATCCCCTTCTGTGCCCTAGAACCTTGTTTTTGCACCCTAAGGCCCTCACTGTGCCTTCATGGCAGTGTTGGGGAGAGTACAGGCAAGGATTGTTACAAAACAAGTGTGGTTTTGAAGGGGAGGAGGGTTCTGGGTGTGTTCAGACTGCCAGGAGAGAAGAGTCTGGGCTGGCAGGACTGTGGAGGGCTGGGGAGCACAGTGAACACAGGACACAGCACTTTGTTTCTGGAAAAGTTTAGTAAGCTGCAGCTTGCTAGCCACTGAACCAGTTGCCAGAGGCCTGTGTTGAGCTTCTAACAGCTCCTGGGTTTTGACCAAACCCTCAGACTTTTCTGGTTTTGCTTTTCAGAAGTAACTTTCCCTTCCCCATCCCATCTGGTCACAGGGTGGAGTTGTCTGGGTGTGTGATGGAGTTGCAGGGATAGTGGAGCAGTTTGTGCTTGTTCCTTGCAGTTCCTGGCGTGGAACAGCCCACCTCTGATCTCTGAGTTTGTGGACCTTCTCCCATTTCTGCTGGATCCAGGCACAGCCATTGAGATCTTCCATTTGCTGCTTGACCTGCCCTGTTTGACAGCAGCTCTGGACATCCAGCTGAGGTAATGCACCTTCCCTTCCTTTCACTTGTTAATCAGCATCTTAGCACTGACCAAAGCCCAGTGCACACTCCTGAGCCTCAGCTGGCACAGAGCAGTCACTGCAGTCAGGTTAACACAAGGCTGCACAGATGTCAGCCCAGTTTTCTTAGTAATGTGTTGTACATGGGAAGAGAAGGTGCCCAGCTCTCACATTTCAGTACTGGGCTGTCTTTGGGGCTCAGGGAGCTGTTGCCATTCCCCTCTCCCTATCCAGCTCTAAATGATTGCCACACGTTTGAGGCTTCCACAAGGTACCACCTCAACACAGAGGTGAAATATCTATTCTTCCTTTCCTGCTCTTAGCCCTGGTTTTGGCTTTGTTCTCCTGGAGGCACACAGAATTTTCTTCCTGAGATCTTAGGCACTGTGAGTTTCCATGAAGATGGGATAGTATGCAACTGGCTGTACCTCTGCTCTTCCTTGTCCTTCTGACATCACAGCTCTTTCTGGAGTGCTTAGAAAAGAGAGCCATCCTAGATGTTGGTGGGCTTGGATGACTGAGGGATAGAGTGCCATTTTTCCCTTTCCCAGGTGTGACACAGAAGCAAGTCTGAAACTGCTGCCTGAATATGAGGGGCCTGAGCTCATCAGGTTGGCCCTCTGCCTTCCAGAGAGCCTGGATTAGACGTGGATTGCTGTTCAGTGTTCAGGATCCCAGCTCTGCCCTGCCCATTCTCACACTGCAGCACATTCTGTGTGTTCCCTGCTAGGGCAGCTGCTCTTCCTGCCTCTGAGAAGGCTGGGGCTGACCCAGCTGGGAAACCAGCCACGTGTCTGGAGGCCTTCCACCATCCCCTCTACAGGAGCATGTTCCAGTATCTCCTCCGCAGCAGGTCTGCTCCCGAGGATGCTCCAGACAGGTAGGAGCGTGCCTGGAGTGTGCTTCAGCCATGCAGCTCTGGGAGGCAGCACTGGGGTTACTGGGAAAGGCACAGCAGCTCTGAGCTGGCTGAGGTGGATTTCTCTTCCCTCTGTCAGCTTTGGCAGCACTCAAAGGCCTTGTGGGGAATAGGGAAGGGCAACTGGGAACAAACCTTGAGCAGTAACTCTTCTTCTGCCCACAGTCTGGTTCCACTTCGGCAGCTGCTGGGATCCCTGGCTGGCAGCCCCAGGCTGGTGCAGTGTGCAGAGACTGTCCCTGTCTTACTGGAGCTCTTTTTCAGGGTGGTGGCAGAGGTAGGTCCTTTTGGGGAATTTCACTTCCCAGTTGTGCTGCAGGGATCTCTTGTTATGTGGAAAAGTTGTAGAAGCAAAATTGGGAAGATGCTGCACTCTGAAAGAGGGGAGGGTGAGATTGGAACTGGCATGAACCAGCACTGAGCTGGCCACTTGATCCAGAGAAACAGAAGAGCTCTGTGGAGCAGTGTCAGGTTCATTCTGTGCTCTAAAGGAGAGAGATGAGAGCACAGTAAGTGCCTGGTACCTGCTTTGTGCACTGCTCCCCTCCTAGACCAGGCAGTTTCTCAGCCAGCTGTCTCACCAGGCTGGTTATTTTGGGGCTTGGCTGCTGGATGTCACAGGTACTGCTGAAACAAGGGCTGGCTTTCAGTTTGCAGATGGCTCTCTGATAAACCAGCTGGTGGTGCTGCTGCTGCAGAGGAGTGACCAGCTCTATGAGATCCCAGCGTTCAAAGAGGATGTGTACAGGTGAGAGGAGACAGGAGGCAGAGCCCAGCTCCCAGCCCTTCTCCCTGGAGGAGCCTTTTCAGCTTTGACCCAGTCCCCACTGTGATTTACCTTTGAAGGATGCAAAATGGGGGCTGCACCTTCATCCTGGCTGGGAGCATCCTGAGGATACAGCCCTGTGCCAGTGGCTGGGTGCTGCCAGCCCCTCCTGGCCTTGGGCATCACCACCTTGCCCTGCTCTGAGCTGTGCCCCTGTCTCTGCCCCAGGGTGCTGGGCTCAAACTTGGCGATGCTCTGCGGGCTGCGCCCTGCGCTCGTGGTGGAGCTGTCCCCGGAGATCCTGGATTTCGCAGGAGCAGTCAGCAACATCCAGAGCAAGGAGGCCATCTTCACCCACATGGTGAGCAGGGCTGCTCCAGCTGCACTCTCACCTGATTTTCTGTTCCCTGAAAATGATTCAGTTCCCTTTCCCTGTGCTCCCCTCTGGCCTGGCACAGGCGTGGGCTGTCGGCGAGTTCCTGTCGGTGTCGCACGACAAGCGCTGCACGGTGGAGCAGATCACACGCTTCTTTGAGACCCTGGAGGCCGTGCTCTTTGAGATCACCCAGCTCAGGCCACAGGCCAGCACCCCCAGCTGTGCCCCCCGAGCCATCAGTGTCCTCATGGCCACCCTGACCAAGCTGGCAGCCCGCAGCCAGGACTTGATCCCCAGGTGAGCACCGGCAAAGGATTGAAATGTGCAGATCTCAGGGGTCTGAATGTGGCTTTGCTGGTGTTAATAATTGAGTCATGGAACTGAAAAAGGACAGAGGTGAGCTGTGGAAGGGCAGAGTTTGGAGGAGTGGGATTCATCTCTGACACCTGCACTAGTCTGTTGGAATTTACACACTGAAGTAGTGACCTGGATGGGTGAAAAGGTCCTGCCAGCTGATATCCATGTCCTTCTCTCCTGCAGAGTGTCCATGTTCCTGTCCAAGATGAGGACATTTGTGCAGAGCCCTGCTGTCACCTCTGTTTACTGTGAGGAAGACCTTGAGGAGATCCTTATACGTGCAACTGAGCTCATGAACCTGCTGAAAATGCCCAGCGTGGCTCAGTTTGTGTTCACCCCACCTGTGGCCAGCACACAGTTTCAGAAGGAGGTGAATGACTCTCTCCCTTTGGCCCTGAGGATGGTCACCGAGCTCCTGGAGCCTGCTGCAGGCTCCATGCCAGTGTGAGGGCAGGAGGTTTCTGGAGTAACTCACTGGACACTGACACTCAAGGCTGAGGCCCTGATCTTAACTGGAAAAGAGGAACAAATGATTGTGAATGGAACAGAGAACAGGAATAAGGAGAGCTGAGGCTGCTCCTCTGGTCTAAGACTGTTTGTATTTCTGTCCTAGTGCCTGTTGCTTTTTTATCTCCTAAGCTTGTCTTATCCCTTCTTGGTGAGTATGCACTGAATTCCTGGTGGACTTGTGCAAATGTTGCAGGAGAGTGAATGGTGCATTAATGCCCTGCCAGCACACCCTGTCCCTTTGGAGATGTGACTTGTTCCCTCCCTTCCTCTGCCTTGTTTCCCTTCCCCTTTGCTCTCACTACACCTGCACATGCTGCTTCTCTTGCCTCTCCTTGCAGCAGAGCAGGCAAAGGCCTGATCTGGAGGAAGCAGGACTGGCTCCATCACATCTGGGAGCCCTCACTGCTCTTGTGTCTCACCACTGGAGTGAACATGGAGAGATCCAAGAGGCAGCTGCCAGAGCAGGGCTTAGAGAGGTTTATTGATCCAGTTTATTGTTGACACAGAGCATTTCTTAACATCCACCGTGTCTGACAGGCGCCATGCTGTGCTCAGTATCTGCACCAGAGCTTTATTCACATCTCAGCTGTACATATTAACACACAGGGAAGTCAGTCCATCCCCTGCTCCTCCTGGGAGAAGCCAGCCCTCATGCACACTAGTAAATAGCAGGGTTTATTTACAGTCTGTTTCAATACCTGACTGCACTGTGAGTGACACACAGCTCTGGGGCTGTTTTGCAGCTCCAGGAGTGCTCAGTGGGGTTGCACTGGTACTGCTGGAACGTGCCAGGATGCAGCCCCAGCACTGCCTAATGCAAACCAAGCCTCACCCCAAGCCCTGGCTCCGGGGCAGAGGGGAGTAAGGAGTGCATGCAGTTTGCCCAGAGGCTTTAGGCAGCCCATTTCAAGTTCTGTGGAGGATGACAGGCCAGCATACCTATTTGATTGAAAGTGAAGTGAATCACCAGGAGCCCTGAGCTTTTGCTCACCTGGCTGAGTCAGTGGCAGGAGGATGCACTGCTCCCAGTCCCTGCTGGGGCAGCACCCCAGGGCAGGGCTGTGAGCGTGGCCCAGCAGAGCAGCAAGGCACTCGTGTCTCAGAGAAGGTGCCTGGTCCATCTTGCCTGGAAAAGCAGGCCAGGCTGCACTGAAATCCAGTTGTGGAGCATTTCCCTTGCATGGAGTGTTCTGACATCTCCTCCTGCGACGTGCAAGACCAAGCACAGGAACCAGAACTGCAGCAGTGAGGTGTAAATAAAGCCAGCCCTGTTTTAGCATCACAGTCCTCAGCACTGTTGTTGTGAGATGCCATGTGAGTACCTGATCCCCTGCCAGAGCCTGCACCGTGCAGGGTGTGATGCAGGGCTTTGCTGCAGGCTGTTTTAAGAGGGTTCGGCTAAACTAGGTCTCAGTATCTGTCTAAATGTGGAAATCAGGTCGGGTTTATCCCGTTAATGGTGCTAAAAGCAGAGGCAGCAGGAGGCCGGGTGTGCAGGGCCCGGGCAGCCACACGATGGAGCTGAACCCTCGGCTGAGCTGACAGCAGGGTCGGCAGCAGGGAGCAGGGCGGTTCCTGGGATATTCACGAGTCCTCCCAAAGGGAATCTCTGCTGTCCATCACCACCTGTCGGCATTTCAGCAGCACACACCCGGGAGATGCTCAGCAGGGCACGAAACAGTGGCCTCGCAATGGAAGCAGGAGGGGCAGGACAGGGTGCTGAGCTGTCCTTGTCTGCCTGGGCTGGTGTCAGTGCCGAGTGCTGCTGGGCTCCCTCAGCTTCCTGGTGGCACCAACCCTCTGTGGGGACATTCTGCCATCATTCCTGGTGGCTTTCAGCCGGGATCGTGGTGCCAGAGCTGGGCAGTAATTCTGCAGAGCAAGAGCAAGGGAGTCCTTCTCTGCAGGGAGCTCTCCCTGGGACTCAGGAGCTGCTGGTGGTGTCAGCCCTTTGCTGTGGCTGCTTCCCATCCTGAGGCAGGGCTGTAGCCCAGCAGCCAACAGGCACCTGAGCTAGTGTATGGCACCAGGGGCATTAACTCCTGGCACTGCATCCTGTGTGGAATCCCACCAGGGGAATTGACTCCTGGTGATGCATCCTGTGTGGAATCCCACTCCTGGGTGCTTGTGCTGCCTTCACCACCCCCAAAGCTGGGCACACTTCTCCAGCCTGATGTGCCAGCACCTCAGGTGGCCACTGCCACAGTGAAGCCCAGGCCTGCCTCATGTGTTCTCTTCAAAACCCAAAGGTATTTCAAGCCTTCAGCCTGTCAGCATACAATATCACACAGGGCTGCCAGCCTAGAGGAACAGAGGAGCCTGCCTACAAGTCCCCATGGTGGGAGCATTCCCTTCCCTCCCCCTGCCAGAGGGGACAAAGGAACAGGAAAGCTCCTGAGCAGGATGACACTGGGTATGAGGTGAGGCTGGGCAATGGATCAGGAATGATGCTCCCAGGCAGTGCAGTGGGAGCAGCGTGCACCATCCTTGCATGTCCTTTGCTGCAGTGCAGGGGCAGAGTGTCCAAAAGCACATCGAGGGCTGTTGTGGAGTCCTGGTCCTCCCTCTTGCACTCCAGGCTCCCTGAGGTCAGCCTTAACCAGAGCTGTAGCCACAAGTTGCTGCAGGATCCTTGTTCCACAAGGACTAGGAGGAAGAGGAGCTGGAACTGATCTTTTTGGCTATTTCAATGTCCGACTTGGCAACCAGAAACCGCAGCTTTTTCCCCCCGGAGCGGATGAGATCCACAGCACTGCAGGGAGCGGCAACAGGGACAGAGGTGAGTTCTGGCAGCCCCTCAGGAGCCTGCCCAGTCATGGGCATTCACAAAACATCCCCCCTTTGCCAATCACCTGTGCCTGCTCAGGGCTACAAGCAGGGGCTGTTCCTCTCCTGTCTGTGGTTTTGTGGAGGGCTTGGCCTCCAGGTTAGTGGTGCCAGAACAAGAGCAAACAAGCCCAAAGCTGCTCTGAGCTGTGGGCACCTGACCTCTGCCTTTGAGCTGTCTCATCCCACCACCTTTGAGAGGAAACCTGGGGTGGGATGGGGCTGCAGCAGCTCTGCATTGCTGAGACCCATCTCTGGAGGTCTCATTTATTTCCCTTTTATGCTCCCCAGTTGCTGGGGAGGGAAATATGGCTTATGCTCCATAATCCCTCCCCAAACCCACAGCCTCTCCCCCTCTCTGGTGTCCTGTGCAGGTCACTCCTCTCCCTGCAGCTCGCTGGTACCTCAGCATCCTCAGCACTGCAGCGCTGGCAACCCTTGGAGCAAAACAGGCAGGAACCCGGAGCTGACAGGGACTCCTCCAGTGCTGGTGCCACCCCAGGCCCTCTGCTGAGGTGGGACTCACCTCTGGTAGTCTGCCCCGATGAGGCTGGTGCCGTTGACAGCCAGGATCCTGTCCCCAATGGAGAGCCTGCCGTCGGCAGCTGCGGGGCTGTCCTCGATCAGGGTGCGGATGTAGATCCCCGGGGAGCAGAGAGGGGTGTGCTGGTGGCAGGGGAAGGCAGTGAGCAAAAAAAGGGACACAAAGATTTGTGGTCCCAAAAGGCCTGGCTCCCCAGGCAGGGTAACCCTCCCCCAGGGTTCACAACCAAGCCTGATGGCAAGTGAGACCTTGGAGATGCTTGGGAACATGATGGGGATGGTGCTAACAGTAACAGGAAGGAAATATCCTTTGCTTTTATATCAATTTATACACAGAAAGAGGTGGGGGCAACCTGCTCTTGTTCAATTTAATTAAGAGTAAAGCATTGTTAGCCTGCAGCCGTGCTGGGATGGGAGCTCTGCTCACGGGGCTCAGTGATGCTCTGTTTCCTACTGACCAACAGCACAGCTGTGGAAGGCCTTTTTAAAAGGATGATCCACCCCACAATGCCAGATTCCTCCTTATGCAAAGGAGGAGCTGTTTTGTGACCCTGTGAGCCTCCCTGCTCCTCTCTGCATCTCCTGCCACCACTGAAGGGTGGAGGAAAGCCTTGGCTGAGTCATTTTCTTTCCACAAGAGAGCTGAGCCTGTTTGCTCTCCACAGCTGCAGGACAGCTGTGGACTTTGCACGCACAGCACAGTGACCTGTCAGCAGAGATCCACTGCGAGATCCCTCTGTGCCTCCTTGTGCCCAGGAGAAGCAGCCCAGCTCCTGTGGGAAGCCATCAGCCTTTCTAGGGGTATAAACCATCCACATCCCACTCCACTGTGTGAGGGCATCAGCTGAGAACTCACCACGCCATCGATCAGCCCCATCCCCAGCCCGATGGGTCCCCTCTCCAGCTCCACCACGAAGACGTAGCAGAAATCATCGGTGGCAGAGCTGCGGCTGGAGGACTCCGGCGTGGGGTAATCATAGGGGGTTGGGGAGCAGCCTGGCAGAGGAGGGAGAGAACAGCTTAGGGCTCTGGCACTGCCCCAGCCCAGCCCACCAGCCCCGGGGCAGCTCTGGCACTGCCCAGCCCCACAGCCCCGGGGCAGCTCTGGCACTGCCCAGCCCCACAGCCCCGGGGCAGCTCTGGCACTGCCCAGCCCCACAGCCCCGGGGCAGCTCTGGCACAGCCCAGCCCCACAGCCCCAGGGCAGCTCTGGCACTGCCCAGCCCCACAGCCCCAGGGCAGTGCCAGCTCTCGGTACCTTCAGGGGTGCTGCCTTTGGTGCCGTTCATGCCGTTTCTCCGGGTGTCCTGCAGCCCTTTGCCGGTGCCCTGCGGTGACTCCGGGCTGCCCGAGTCGAAGTTCAGGGGGGTGGTGGGTGGTGTCAGCAGGCAGGAGGGGTCTGGGGGCACCGTGCCACCCTTGGGCAGCGGGCTCCTGCCCAGCTGCAGCTGCTGGAGCTTCTCCTGGAGCTGGGGCTCGCTGGCGGGGGGCTCGCAGGGGCAGGTGCTGGTGGCCAGGCAGAGTTTGGGGTTCCCCTGCGGCTCAGCACAGCCCCCCAGGCAGCAAAAATCCTCCTGGATGGCGATGGTGCTGCCCGGGGCGGGCACCGGGGCCTCGCTCACCTCCAGCACCTCTGGCGTCGGGCATGCCTCTTTCTTGAGAAGGAGGGAAATGCTGTGGGACCCCTGTGTGTGATTGTCGCTCCCCACCTGGACCCCACCACCCTGCTGCTCTCCTGGCTGCCAGATGCATCCAAAGCCTTGGCAATCCAGACACTGCCAGGCTTGTCCTGGCTTCCCAGCACAGCTCCCACAGCCCTGCTGGCCAGGACTGTGCTGGGGGGTGTTTACAGCCAGCCAGAAGGGGACTCCTGGTCATGTCCCTGCTGGGGATCCCATTGGAAGGGGACACTGGGGAGCACAGCTCCTCCTGTGCCACAAGGGCTGCGCAATGTGGCCCCAGGGTGACAGGAGGAGGCAGCAGGGCCTGTGAGTGCTGCAGGGAATGGGGACAGGATGGGAGAGGAGAAGGGGACCCTCCACATGGCAGTTGAGCTTAGCACCCACAGCACGTATCACCTTCCCTGTGTTTTACAGGCATTAGCTAATTAGCACTTGCTGCTGGGACGGGCAGGGTGCAGAGCAGGGAGGACAGGGAACACACAGGGAGAAGGGGAGCACTGCCACAGACATCTCCCCTCCCTCCCTGACGAGATTGCTGGGAAGATCCTTCCAGCTCAGCTTCCCGTGCCCCCCGTGCTGGGGGATTAGCAGCACTAATCCTTCCAGGAGCTCTCCATGAGGGCACTGCCACAGCTCCAGGCTGCAGGCAAGGGCAGCAAGCCCTTGACACTGGGCTTGGAGGGCTCTGCAGAGGGACCCAAGCCCCTCCTGCCCAGCCAGGAGAGGAACAACCCCCCCCATGGGGTACAGGCTACCTTAGGGAGTGCTGAGCCCGGCCCCTCGCTGCTGTGGGGGCTCCTGCTCTGCAGGCTCCAGAGGAAGTGGCGGATGTAGAGGAGGTGTCTGTAGATGTTGTCGTCCAATGCCTCCACCTCCAGGTCCACTTTGAAACCCCCACTGGGCAGGATGATGGGTGGATGGTTGTCAAAGGACTCCAGCACTTCATCTGAAAGGCAGAGGGATGGATGGAGGTTAGCACGGGCTCAGGTTGCACCCCAGTGCTGCCTCCTAGCTCTCAGCCATGTGCAGTCTCCCAGCTGGGATCAGGGATTCAGTGAGCTTGAGCCAGCAACATCCCTCACTTGGGACAGCAGAAAAAGCCTCCTGCACTTTGCATCCTTTGCAATATCTGAATTTGGGGGCTCTGGTTATTACCAATTGCTGAAGGTACTACAGGACACCAGGAAGGGGAAGGGAATGACCTGTTTGTAGGTTTGTTTGTGACTGAAGCAGGCTGAGCAGGACTCACCAAGCTGGAAGGTGGCTGGGCTGTCCTCCTCACTGGGCTGCCACGCTGAGATGCACCCCACGTCCATCACAGCCTGGCACTGGCTCAGCACCCGGTGCAGCTGCGCCGGGCTCAGCGCTGGGAACTCGGCTCGCAGGGACGGCCAGGTCATCTGTGTGAGGGGACAGCACATGGCAGAGGGGAGAAACTGCTTCCTCTGAGGAGCAGGAGCTTCAAGGGGCACAGGAGGGAGAGCTCAGGCAAGATGGAGAGAATCAGAGCATCCTCTCCTGGGTACTGCCCACCCACAGACCCTGGGAGAGGGCAGGTTCAAAAGGGGCACATCAGTGTAGGCACCCCCAGACTGAGCAGGTGCTCTCCTGCCCATGCCCATCCCAATGCCACGAGCCCTGGGCTGGGATCCCTCACCTGCACCAGCTGGGAGCCGGGCATGGCCAGCAGGTTGGCCACGCTGGCCAGTTTGGAGAAGAACTGCTGTGAGAGCTGCTCGAAGCCGGCGCCGTGCAGCCATTCCAGGAGCAGCCGCACGCTGGCCCGCAGCTTCACCCCCTGGGACCAGTGGAAACAGCCCAGAGAGGAGCCTGAGGAGGCAAAGCATCCATCAGCCATATCAGGGAAAGCATCCATCACCATATCAGGGAACTCTGTCCCCCAGCCCCTGCCCCAGATAATGTCCCCAACATCCTGTGGCTGCAATTCCTGGTGGCAGCTGGGCCTTGTCTGGCACTTACAAGGGGGCAGCTGCGTTAATGAGGGCTAATGAGTACCTCAGGCTGCTGTAGTTTATTAATGAGCTACCCTTATTAACAGCCCTCAGGCTCGAAGGGGCAATGGAATGGGATGGGATCCTTGTGGGGTTTAGGCTCTCCTGGGAATGGGGACCCAGGGGCCAGCAGCTGGGTCTGTGCTTGGCCTGCCTGTAGCAATGCTGAGACCTGCCATCTCCAGCCCCTTCCAGTACCCATTTAGGTGGCACTGGGATGGACTGGAGAGCATCCCAACAACTCGGTTCCCTATGTGTTAGCCAGTTCAAGGAGGACTGACCCTTATCCAGGAGCTGGTTGAAGAGCAAGGTGTTGGAGAAGAAGAAGAGGTAGGCAAACATCTGGGAGGTGATCTCGGGGTGCACTTCGTACTGGTGCAGCAGGTCCAGCACAGCCTGGTAGATGAGCACGACCCTGCGGAGCTCCTCGGGCAGGGGCGGAGTCCCGCGCCAGCCCTCCCGGCACTCGCTCTGGAAGGGGTTGCACTCCAGCAGGGCCGGGAGCGACACGTACAGACACTGCAGAGAGCAGCAAGGTCACAGCACACTCAGTTTGTTGGGGTTTTTCTGTTTTTGCACAAGCCAAGCAAATCCTGCCAGTGCTGCTCTGGCAAGGGGCTGCTCCTGTTCACCCCCTGCCTCCATGGGCTCAGGTGTTTTGCAGAAGGGTAAAAAATTATAAAAATGAATGCAAAAGTTTAAAAACTATAAAAAATTGTAAGTATTATAAAATTGTAAAAATTATAAATATTATAAATGCTATAAAATTATAACTATTATAAAATTATAAGTAATGTAAAATTATAAATATTATAAAAACTATAAAAATCAATGCAAAAGCTTAAGAATTATAAAAAATAATGCAAAAGTTTTAAAATTATAAAAATTATAAATAAGTATTATAACTATTACAACTGTTATAAAATTATAAATATTATAAAAATTATAAGTATTGTAAAATTAGAAATATTATTAAAAAATAAAAATAATGCAAAATTTTTAAATTATAAATATTATAAGTATTACAACTATTACAACTGTTATAAAATTATAAGTATTGTAAAATTATAAATATTATAAAAATTATTAAAATTAATGTTGGTCGCTTTTAGCAGTTGGAAGAAATGGTGCGTGACGCCAGCTAAAATCTGCAAAACTTATCGTGAACCAGGGCAGCAACCAATCAGTTGGTCACGAAGGTGACAGAAATCAGGATCGATGGGGATGATTTTCCATATTGCTTACATGGGAGAGCAGTGCCTTGCACTCACTTCTTCCAGGGGAGAGGGAAGGGGAGGAGGGCGCAGGGGAGGAAGGCACAGAGGAGGAAGGCACGGCCCGGAGCGGTGCAGGAGCAGCAGCAGCAGCAGCCCCGTGTGCCCTGTGCCGGTGGCAGGGAGCCGTGGTGCACAGGGCAGCCTTTCTGTGCCTCACACTGCCCGCTCTGTTCCCGCTGCCGCCCGGCTCTCCCAGGCCAGGGGCCCCTTGCCATCCCTTTCCATCCCTTTCCATCACGCCCTGAATCACAGCATTATGCTGCGCTGGCCGAGCCAAGCAGCCCTCCCCGCACGCCTCCCCCGAGCCGCTGCACTGCAGGAAACACGCCGCAGTAATTCAATACTTTTCCTGGGCTGCGACCAAAATTCAGGGAACTTCAGCCCGAAGGAAAACACCTCAGCGTGGTGCAACTGCCAAGGAGTGAAAGCTTAAAACAAAACCCTCCTGCACAGCCCTGGGGATGCTCGTGCTGGATCTGTGTGCTGCTGTACCTTGGAGATGTAGTAGACACACTGCTGGAAGGTGTACATGATCACCTCCTCCAGCACCGTCATCGCCTCCTCGCTGGCCGTGATGGTCGAGGAGAACAGAGATTCCTTGGAGCCTGCAGGGAGGAGAGGAGCATCAGGGAGCAAACCTGCAGCAGCAAGGCCCCCAGACCCCCAGGGTGTGGGTTATTAGAATTTCCAGGTTTGTATCATCCCCACGGAATCCCTCAACAGGGCAAAGAGGCTCCTCTGGCCCCAGGGAGCTCCCACCTGCCATCATCCCCCACAGTTCCCATCACTGATGGCAGCTCCTGCCCGGTCTAGGATCATTTTAACTTTTTGCATAGACCAGAGAGTTTCTGAGGCTGGTTTAATACCTTTCTATCTTTTTTTCCCTTTTGCTGGCATTAACACAGGCTCACCAGTGAGCAGTTCTGCAGGGCTACCTGCAAATCCAGGGTGAAGAAAGCCCCCCCAGGGCATTAACCACAAGCTGCTGCAGGTCCTATTCCCTCCTGAGCTTTTCCAAACCCACTCATTCTGTGCAAGCATGGTGGTTAAAGAACCAGAGAGCAGAATGTGTGGGATTCAACAGGAAAACTCATCATACTCGTGTGTGAACACAGCACAACCTGGCTCTGGAGCTGGGCAGCACCAGGGCAGGATGTGAGGCTGCTCCTCCCACAGATTTTCCCAGCCCACAGCATGGTGATGTCCCTGCTGATGAGGACTATGGAGGGTTAATGGAGCATCCCGAGGGCACTGACCACCACCTGTGAGTGGGGATTAGCAGAGCAGAGCTGCTCTGGCTGGGAAAACAGGCAGGATGCTGCATCCACACCTACCTTTGATGTCCAGCTCTTCCTCCATGCTCTGGATGTAGGTGGGTGATTTCTGCTGGACAAAGTAGAGGATCTCGATGGCATTGGCCATCCAGAAGATGATGTGCTGCAGGTCTGGGAGGAGGTCTGTGATGGTGAAGCGGGACAGGGTGGCAGGGTCCTGGCTGGGGAGACACAGCAGCTGTTACACCTGCTGCCCCTCAGCATCCCCACTCAGGCTTTTGGGGAGAAAACAGCCAGTTTGGGGCAATGCCAGAGAGCTTTCACATCCCCACACCCCAAGCCCAGCACTCCCCTTAGAAAGACCCTTTACATGGAAAAATTCAGAGGTTTCTGCCCTGTGGGGTGGCAAAGGGGACCCTGTGGGGACCAGGCTGACCAAGGCCACCTGGCCTTTGTGGGGTGCCACTTTTGGGGGAGACTTTCCCTAATACAGATGAACTGCACTCAATATTCATGGCTGAAGAGCAGCCCTTCCCCAGAGGTATGTGCTGCTCCTGCCAGCTCTGGACAGTTAAACCCAGCTCACCTGCCCTGGGCTGCTCAAAAATAAAACAAAAAGCATCTGGGTAATTTCTCAACTGCTAAACTGCTTTTTCCTGCTATAGGAAGGGCCTGGGAAGCATCCTTGAAGTTTATCCTAAAGGAGAGCTCACAGCAAGCACCAACTGCTTTAGAGATGGGATTTTGGATGTGGTTGGGAAGACAGCTCCTTGCACCACTGTGATTGTCCCAGAATGGTGCTCCCAGCACTGGGACACGCTGTGCCACCACCCCTGCATGCACACATGCAGTGCCAGCTCCGTCTCAGCTCCACTGAGGGGTCTCCAGCCAAGGAAGGTCAGGCTCACACTAAGGAACATTCCTACTGTATCATTCAAGGGTGAAGCCACAAGTGCAAAGCCTTGGCCAGCTCTTAGATCAGAGAAAACCCCAGAGCTGCTGCAGGTCCTATTCCCTCCTAAGCTTTTCCAAATCCACAGATTCTCTGCAGGCATGTGGTTAAAGGACCAGAGAGCAGAATGTGTGGGATTCAGCAGGAAAACTCATCATGCACCACTGGCTGACAGCCACGGACTTCCCTCACTCATGGAGGAAGAACCAGGTTGAATTCTCCCCTGAAGAACCAGGTTGAATTCTCCCCGTTTTTTGAGGTGAAACAAGAAGGGTCACACTTACTGCTGGGATTGCTTTTCAGCCAGCTCCCGCGTCCGCTCCTGGGCAGGGAGAGAAGGGAAAGCACAGTGAGAACCCGTGGGATGGGGTGGCACCATCAGCACTCACTGCCACCGGGGACCAGGCTGAGGAGGAGCCCCCAGGGAGGGCCTGAGCAACACCCCCACCCCAAAACACCCCGTCCCACCGCCGACTGACCCACACCGTCCTCTGGATCATTTTGGCCGCTTTCAGCAGCAGCTGCCCGAAGTCTCCCGGCTCAAAGTTGGTGGCTGAGTGCTGGATGCAGAGGCAGAGCAGAAAGGCAGGTGTCAGCTTGTGGTCGTCCCCTCCGGGCTCGATGAGGCTCATGATGCGCCGCAGCAGCACATCCTCGGCCGCCGGCTCGAACTCCAGCTGCAGCCTCCTGCGGGGCGTCCTGGGGCCACCACCGGGTGACGGGCCCCGCTTTTTGGGGTCCCTGTCCCTCAGCAGGCTGCCGCACGCCCCGCACACGTGCGGAGCCTCGGGGTGCAGGGCCCGCAGCCTCAGCAGGGTCTGCGCCGGCAGCGGCTGCGCCTTCATGGGGTCCTTGTAGAGCAGCAGGTAGTAGAGGCCGAGGGACAGCAGGTCCCCGTGCCGCAGCACCACCGTCCGGGACACCTCGGAGAAGTTGACGGAGACGGCGGCGCCGGCGATGGGCTCCAGCACCAGCTTCTCCTCCGAGCGGTGCCGCGAAGGTCGGAGCTTCCTGATGGTGCAGTGCAGGGGCAGGATGTCAGGGGCGGACAGGCTGATGCTGGGCTTGCTGGCCTGCGTCCTCTGGCCCACCGTGTGCTGCTCGCGGTTCAGCAGGTACACCAGGCTGTCCTGCCGAGCGAGGACACGCAGCATGAACCGGGCACGGGGAGAAGGGACCCTCCTGCTGCCATGCAGTGAGTGCTGCAGCCTCCCGCTGTCCCCAGCTGTCCCCTCGCTGTCCCCAGCTGTCCCCCAGGCACATTTACATTTCGTTATTTTACTCTCCTCGCTGCCAGGCAGGACAGCAGCGATCCCTGCCTTGGGCACGGCAATAAATGGGCACAATGACTTTGGGCATGCGGTAAATGGGGCTGCTTTGGACAGAAGGAGCCCTCCTTCCACCTCTCCCCCTCATCCCTTCTGCAGCTGCTTTTCCTTCCCAGCTTTTCCCTCCAGACTGCAGCGATGCCTGCACCCCCTGCCCGGGGCGACAGTGGGACAGAGCATCCACCCCTGGCCCTGCCTTTCCCTGCAGCCTGCCCGCACTCCCCGAGGCAGCTCAGGGGACCAGCCCGTGCCTCAGTTTCCCCAGTAGCACTAACGGGATGGCCGCAGTGCCGGTGTCACCCTGCCAAAAACCTGGAACAGCTCGACACTCAGCGGGCGCAAAGTAGCCATTAACTGCAAGAGCCGACCCTGTCCTTTGCAGTTCTCCTTGCACTGTTCTCCTCGCAGCCTCTGATTCCATCTGCCACTGAGGAAGCAGCCGGACCGGGGATGGGGAACGGGGAATGGGGCAGAACCGGGGCCCCCTCGGGCCGGGGCAAGGATGCTGCTCAGGGATCACCCTGCATCCCTCAATGCCGGTGCCATCCCAATGCCAGTGGGGCATTGCAGGCGGTCACGGCTCCTGCCTCCGCGTTCCCCGCACTTGGGGACAGGCCGGGGACAGACTTGAGGACAAGGCTGCGAGTCCCAAGCCCGTTTCCTAAAGGATGCTCATCCTCACCACCATCACCACCACCACCACCACCTCCCTCGACCCCAGCAGCTCCGGCCATGCAAGCAGCCCCGCTTGGGGGGCTGGGAGGGAAGCGGGGGTGCCGGGGGTGCGCAGGAGGCGGCGCGGTGCTGTGCTTACATGCTGCTGGCTGTAGCCCTGCAGGAGCAGGAGGTGCGGGGACTGGTAGAGGGAGTACCGCATGCTGCTGCCGCCGCTCCGCGCCGCCGCCGGGCTGCCGGGCAGGGTGGAGCAGTGCCGCTGGAGCCGGGCCCCGCCGCCGGCCCCGGCCGCGCTGCCCGCCCGCCGAGCCGGGCTCCCCAGGCTGGTCTCGCTGAGGCTGCGCCGCAGGGCCGGGGGGGGCCCGCGCCGCTCCGCGCCCGCCGCCCGCCGGGCCCCCCGCGCCCGGTGCCGCTGCAGCTTCCGCGCCTGGGCGTTGATGCCTGCGGGGATGGGGGGAGACAGAGCCGCCTTCAGCCCCTGCAGCCCCCCCGGGAGACAGAGCCGCCTTCAGCCCCTGCCGCCCCCCCGGAGCACCCCCGCCCGCCGCAGCACCCCAGTGTTGCTGGAGGGATGCTGCAGCTCGGAGCGGGGAATGGAGCGGCTGGAACCCTCCCGGCGCTGCGCACCCACCCTGCCCTGGTGTCCCCCGGTTCTTTGCCCTCCCCGAAAGGTGACGCCAAAACAGCGGCGCGGAGTTTAGTGTCCTAATGGCACCGCTAAAACGCGGTGTCCCTGCCCTCCCTGGCCCCCAAACCTCACTGGATGGAGAGCAGCCGGTCCATAGCATCCTCCATCCGCCCCGGCCACACTGCAGGGCTGGGGGGAGAGGAAATCCCTGCTAAAAAGAAATTTCACTCAATCTTTGCTAAAAAGAAAAAAAAAAAGAGCCCGGGTTTGGCTTTCAGCCCTTCAGCAATCGGGAGCCAGCAGCAAGTGGGGACCGCAGGGACCCCCCCCAATTCCCCGGAGCATCAGGCAGGCACGGGAGCTGCAGTGGAGCCCGGCTGCAGCAGGAACAAGCCGTAATTAACTTCTCCCAAGCATCAATTCGGGCAGAGCTGTCTGTCCGTGAGACAAACAGGAGCCGGAGTGAATGGATAGGCCGGGCCGAGCTGCAAAAGCAGCCCCAGAGCCGCGGGTCCCGCTGGGTCCCTCCGAGCCGCAGGAGAAATTGGAAGTTGTGTGTCCGAGGGTGATGCTCGTACCTCAGCTGGGCACCTCCTGGGAGCAGGTCACTGGCATTCGGGGAGGACAAAGAGAGGGGAAAAACCCTCCAGGATTCGCTTGCAGGAGCAGCAGTGCAGCGCTGTCGGTGCAGCACCAGAGCCAGAGCCCTGCTCCCGGCTCTGGACAGCGAGGCTTGGGGACAGCCAGCGGGATTTGGGGACGGCAAAGCACAGAGCCTGGTGCCCAGGGCTGCTTAAAGGGACACTCACAATCTCAGACCCAAAAAAAAAAAAAAACATCTGCCTTATTTGGTGAGGAATGGGCTGCTGGTTCTGAAATACATTTTTTTGTTTGTTTGTTTTAAATGGAGCGCTCCTTTGCTGGGAAAATCAAAGAGATGGGGATGGGGAGGCGGGGGTGGGACAGGGAGAAAATAGCCCCTGCTGTTTACATGCCTTGGGATTAGGGCAAGGCACAGCCAAGCCACCCCAAGCAGCCCCGTGCCCTGTGTCCTTCTTAAAAAGGCAATCGGCCACGGCACGGATGGGACATCCAGGGAGGACAACAAACCCACACAAACCACACTGCTGGGCGTGCCAAAGGCCACCCCAAACGTGTCTGCAGGACACCTCAGCTCCCCCCAGGAGCCCTGTCCCCGACCCAAATCATGGAAATGGGCCAGAGGATGAAGGACAATGCAGATCCCAGAGCAGGCTGAGCAGGCAGGGAGCAGTGGGGCTGGATCCTGGGGAGCAGCTGGAGCTCAGTGGGACAGAGCAGGGCCTGCCAGCACTGGGGTCCCACTGCCTGCGGAGACAGGCCCTCACCAGCCCCTTATCCAGGGGAAAGGAAGCTTCTGTATTTATTTTGTGTAGGAAAAAGCTGCTTTTTCACTGCCCCCGTCACAGGCTCCCACCAACCCCAGGGCTGTGCTGGAAAGATAAACACAGCTCTTTTCCTGAGCATAACAAAGTCCCTCCATAAAACTGGGTTAGGTTTTTTTCATCCTTTGGTACTGTTTTGTCCTCCCAAGAATGTGCAGGTTATCCCACCCAAAACTCAGCCTGAACACCTCCAGTGCAGAGCCAGTGGCTGCTGAACCCACATGGAGACTGGGATGGGAACAGCATGTAAGGATTCAAAGAGCATCCCCAAATATTTCATTCCTCCCTGGATAGCCAGGACTTGGACTGTAGAAAGGAGGCACTGCTGTTGGGGTGTTAGCCCTCGTTTAAGTTTAGGGCTGGACAAGCTCCAGTGATCTCAGGCCTAGGGGGTTAAAAAGGCTTGGGAAAAGGGATGTACCACTGATAGTGGGCACAAAGAATACACAATTTACAGGCCACAAGGACACTTGGCAGCACTCCCAAGATAAGGAAGAAACTAATGGAAGCAACTCAGCAACTGTGCTGAATCAGCTGTGCCTGGGTAAGAGGCAATTCTGGCTGGGGGAGATTCACAACCACCAACACAAGACACCACCAGCTCAAAACAAGAGCTCTGTCTCTGTCCCCCCTCTCTTCTCTTCTCTTTCTTTCTCTCTCTCTACCTCACACTGACTGATAATAAAATCTGTACTATTTACTTCAGCATTTGTCTCGTTTGCACCTCAGTTCAGGCAGAGGCACCTCTCACTAATCAGACCCTAACACAGGGCTGGATCTCATCCTTAGGGAGAGCTGGGCACCCCTTGGGCAGCACCCCCAGACCCCACCAAGCTGCTGCCTCTAAACCCATCCTGCAGCCCAGGGGGAAAACTTTCACTTGTGGTGCCTGGGATCTTGGCTGGGATCTGCCTCTGTTTCAGCTGAGGAAAGAGGTTGGCTTTTCCTGGCTGAGAAATAAATCAACAAATAACTCCATGGGCCCCAGGAAAGAAGAAATGCTTTGAATGTACCCAGGAGGGACTAAGACCAGGCTGGTCCTTCCTAATGTAATTGCTCTGCAGACTCCGCAGGGAATCTTCCCTGGATGCAGTTGTGCTAAGGTATATCAAAGCCAGATCCTCAAAGGCACTTGCCAGAGCATCTTTTAGAATAATAGGCTTAAATCCCAAGTTTTTGGAGCTGCGTGTGCAGTTCAGCCTCCAGTCCCTTGGGAAAGCTCCAGTTAGGACAGGACCTGGTACAAAAATGGGGATAATTTGGAAAATGAATGCCACTGAGATGCCAAGGGCTGCAGCACCCTATAGTTTGTGAGTGTTTTCCCTACATCTCCATGACTCTGTGCTCTCCAAAGGAGCAGGGCTGGGGGCACAGTGAGAGAGGGGCTGCCTCGTTAGCTGCACAGAGCCTCTACCTGTGCTGCTAATTAGTGCCATGAGGAGCCAGCACTGTCCTCCCCAGTGGGAAGCAGCTAATAAACTAATTAGGATAATGGGTAAGTGAGCAGATAAAAGTCTTAAGCTATTTGCTAGCAGGTCATGGGTGGATGTGGAGCCTTTCCCTCAGCCAGGGATGCACCTGCATGACCCCAGTGCTCCCAGTCCTGCTGCTCCAGCCATGCCCTGTGTGGGGAAGGGCCTGCAGGTATTGCCCTGGGGATGGTGTGAGCCTTCCTCTGCTTTTCTCTGGGGGAGCTGCAAGCCTGAAGTCCCTTTACTTTGGCACAGATGTTGTGTTTTCCAGGCCAGTGCCTCAGCACCGTGGGCAGGCAGCTGCAGCTCAGCAAGGGGACCTCTGCCAGACCGAGCCTGGTGACAAGGGTGACCCTGCTGGAGGGCACTCACAGTCAATACCCCCCTCACCAGGAGTTTTGGGTCCTTTTGGGGTGCTGGGTCACAGGCTGCATCACTCACATTCTTTCCTGGCAGTTTGCAGATGAGGTGGGAAAGGTCCCAACCCCACAGCAGCACAGGGTGACACTGGTGACAGAGCCCCTGGTGCCACCAAGAGAAAGGGCTGCAGGAGAGAGACTTTACCAGGTAAGACAACCATGGGCTGTGTACTCTGCAGAGCAGACAGCCTGACTGTGGGTGTAGCTTCTGCCTTTGAAGAGCTTGGTCAGCTCTGGAAAATGCCCAAAGGTTAAAAAATGGGGAATTTCCACAGCCCCACCCAGGAGTGCTGAAACAAATGAAGTGATAACGAAAGCATAACGGGCTTGTTTCCTGATCCAGAGCACGGGATCCTATCAGGAGCTGCTCCTCCATTGGGCTCATTTCCACATCCAGAGCACGGGATCCTATCAGGAGCTGCTCCTCCATTGGGCTTGTTTCCTGATCCTGAGCACAGGATCCCATCAGGAGCTGCTCCTCCATGGAAATGGCCCAAGGGTGCAGCCCCAGGCCAGCTCAGAGCTGCTCCCAGGCTGGGCAGCCCAGACCCTGCTGCTTCCCTGCCTGGGTGGATCCCTGCACTCCCACACTCCCAGCCCACCCAGGATCCAGCCCACGGGAGCAAAGTTCCTTTCTGCATCCGAGGGGAGGATTTGAGGCTGTGGATGTGACCTTGGGCTGGCAGGGAGCTGCCACATGGCCCTGCACCCCTCACTGGGCTCTTGCCCTTCCCTCCATTGAGCTGAAGCTGTTTTTAGATCACTGCTCTCCCAGAGTGCTTCACATCTCTCTGATCCTGGCTGCAGGAAGAGCTGGAGAGAAGAGCAGAGCATCCACCTCCTTGGCCCAGGCCCTGGCAGGAGCCACTTCTGTGTCTGTGCAATGAGCTGGGAGCACCTGTGGCATCCCCTCCCTGAGCAGCCACAAACTGGACATGGTGAGCATGGAGCAGCCCTGTGTCCTCAAGTACCAGGTGGAATTCCACTTGAAAATTGCAGCTGGGCAGGCTCCAGCTGCCTCTGTTCTCCTCCAGAGAGAGGAGCCCATGGCTGGATTCCCTCCCTGTGTTCCAGGGTTCTTTCCAGCTTTGTTAGGATGGGTGGGAAAGGAGCTGTGTCCCCCCTGGTGTGGGACAGGTTGGGCCATTTGTTCTGCTGCTGGTGGGGCAGAAACTTGGCTCTTCTTTGCCAAGCACACAGACTAATCCTGCATCACCACCAGTTTAGTTCTGACAGTAACAACCCTTCCCTGCAGGTGTGAGGAGCTGCTGGGGCCCATCCCAGCAAAACCCTGTGGCTGACACCTCTGGGGCCTGGTCAGCAAGTCTGACCCTGCAAGCACATTGTGCAAGTAAAAATCTGATTTTAAACCTTTCTGCCCTCATCCTCACAGGACTTTTATCTGAGGGTGAGAGGAGGAAAGCTTCATTACTGCTGCTGGTTCCTAATGATGCACTTATCTCCTCCTGCCAGCCCTGGCCTCCATCAGGCACCGCTGCAGGGGCTCTCCTGCCCTACATTGCTCTCTCTTCATTAGCTTTTCATTTTCCTTAATTGCTCCTGCAGATTTGCCCGGGGTGTCAGGCCTGGGGGATGCCCAGAGGGAGATGGGGGAGCAGGGCAGAGCCAGGCACAACGCTGGGGATGCCATGGTGCTTGTTCACTGATGGGAAAGAGCAGGAAGCACTGATGTTCTTGCCTGCTGCTCCCCAGCCATGGGCAGGGTTTGTTATTAACCCCTAAATTGGCTGGGGTGAATATCTGAGGTGACAGATACCAAACTGATGCAGGAGAGTGCTGAGGCCTGCCTCAACCCCAGAGCCTCGCCGCTAAAACACGTCCACTGTCCCACTTGCACCACCCCTGCACCCACACCACGTGTGAAAGCCTGTGCTGTGGGAAGGCTCCAGGGGGTGCCCCCCATCCCCTCTCCCTGGCCCACGCCCAGCTCTGACCTGCAGTGGTGGTGTCCACATCCCTGGCCGCCATCTCCTCCACCTCGGCCCTCCTGCGCAGCTCCAGCCGGCGCGAGAAGCCCTCCCTGGGCTTCCAGAGGTCCTGGATGAGCAGGGGCTTCTCGTGGTCGCCCAGCACCCTGAGCCCCTCAGTCTGCCACTGCCTCTCGGGGCCCTGGAAGCGGCCGATGACGTCGCAGAGCGCGTACTGCGCGGCGCTGAGCTGGCTCAGCCCGTAGCGCTCCAGGGCCTCCTTCACCAGCTCCCGCGCGCCCGAGCTGCCCGTCACCAGCACGCTCTTGTAGTTGGTGCCCGCGCAGATGTTGCCCCCGAAGATTTTCAGGATGCCAGGGGCCGAGAGCTGGGTGGAGAGCTCGGCCGGGTCGTCCTCGGCGGGTGCAGAGCCGCGGTCCTTGTAGCTCAGGGTGCGGTAGAGCACCTGCGAGAAGAGGCGGCTCTGGCGCTTCAGCCGGCTCTTGGACGGCGGAGCCATGCTGGAGGACGGCCCATAAAACATGGTGGGAGAGGTCGTCATGAAGCACAGCTGGGCAGGGAACAGCAAGAAGGGCAAGGTGAGTGGTTTGGAGGGTGGATGTGCAGCAAAGTGGCCACGGAGGAGCCGCTGTCACCTCCGAGGTGGCAGATCAAGGGAGAGCCATTTCCCCTGTGTAACCCAAAACACCAGTGGAAAAGCTCAGCCAAGCTCCTTGGCACCAGCACAGTTACCCCTGGATGGATTTTTGTCCCTGAAAACACCACCTGGAGAGGCCCCATAGTTCTCCATCTTACCCAGAGGAGGAGAGCAGAGCCCAGCAGGACTTGGCGGGGCCCATCCTGGTCAGCAGCCAAGGCATCAGGAGTTACTTTCACTAACGAGTTTATGGAGCAATCCCATTTTTTAGAGGTGAAACGGAAAGCTCAAGTGCAAATTCACTCGCTCTGAGGTCGCTGCTAAATGCTTTTCCTCAGCGAGAGGCACAGGGTGAAAATGGGCTCTAATTAGCCTTTCTAAAAATGTCCTGACTCTGGCAAATCTCTTGGCTGTTGCTTGTTTGTGGAGGACATTCAGGCCCAGGGTGGCATCACTGACAAGGCTGTCCTTGTCACCTTAGCCCAGGGCAGCCCCAAATGGGCAGTGATTGGAGCAGATGTGGCCAAGGCCATGTGGCGGCTCCCAGTGCTCCTCAGTCCCCTGGAGTGGACCAGGAACCACAAATCCCTTCTGGATTTCGGTGGGTAGCACTCCTGCCTGATGTCACTGTCCCCATCCAGGTTGCAGCATCACCTGGTGCTTGTGTGGTGCTGATGACCCACAGCCACACTGTGACCTGCTGGCAGGGTCAGCAAAGACAATCTGAGCATTCCTGCTTGGGACAGAACTGGGAACTCCCTCTCCTCCAAATCTAAAACATGCAGGGACCCCATGCACACACAGAGGAACCCCAGAATGTCCCATCCACAGCAGGATGCAGCAGTTGGGTGACCCAGGTGTCCCTGGCTGGGCACAGGTGAGGGGCCAGCAGCTTCCACAGCTGCAGCCCTGAGTGGCTCAGGCACAGCCGTGCCTCAGAGCAGACTCAGCACTATCAGCAGAGTGATGCTGGGCCTGGACAGCCTCCAAGCCAGCATCTAATTCAGGAGAAAAGAGCAGAGAAAAAAGTCCCTGCTGCTAATGGAAGAGGTCACCTTCTTACCCAGAAAGCAGCTCCCAGCCGTGCATGGAGGGTTGCTGCAGGATCCCCATCCCACAGCCAGAGACACAGGGAATGCTGCAGATGGGAAACTGAGGCACCAGGTGCTAAGGATGTGGCTGGGAGCTGTGTAATCCTGCTGCACCCCAAGTCACCCCTTTCCCAGCTCCACCAGGACTGTGAAAATGCTGGGGTTTGTCCTTGTCCCCAGGCTGCAGGTTCCAAAACTGACCTCTGGAGTGCTGAAGGGCAGGAGTCCTGGCAGGACAGCAGGGCTGTGAGGACCTTGCGTTTTACACTGACCCAGAACTTCACCCCAACTCACTCAGGTAAGGCTGCTCCTGCTCAGGTAAGGCTCAGGTAAGGCTGCTCCTGCTCCCACCTTGCAAGTGGGGAAACTGAGGCAGGGATGGGTTGGGGTTCTGCTCCTCCCTCTCCTGCTGAGCCCAGAGCTGCTGCTCCTGCGGGGGACATCCCTGGGGACATCCCTTGATGTTTGCTGTGTGACACCTCCTGGCAGCCCCGACCTGGGGAGCAGGTCAGGGCACTGGCACAGTCAGGCTCAGGAACAGATGCCCCAGGCTCCAGCACGGCCCTGCCAGCCCTCATTAACATCGGCCACGAGGAAAACTGCCCCAGAGTCCCTGCAGGACCTTGTCATCAGGGATGCAAAAGACAAGGCTCTGTCATCAAATCACTGCTTTCATGGGTTTTATCTCCTCCACCCTGAACTGCCCCCAGCACAAAGGGAAAACTTTCACCATCTGCTGGTGGCAAAATCATTCCTCCAAGCCCACATCACAAACACACCATCCTTGCTCCTTGCAGGTCCCTGCTGGTTTTGAATGTGTTATTTATAGCTCAGCTGTATTTTTACTCTTTCTATAAAATGCAGCTCCTACAGAGTTCAGGGGCAAAGACTTTTCACCGGGAAAAAAAATCAGAAGGCTGAATCAGGAGGAGGTGTCACCCCAATTTTCAGCATCTAGAGCAGCACAGGTGTGATTTCAGCCGGCACCAGCCTGGGTGACCTGAGAAATCACATTCTCCTGGAGACAGCAGGACACACCCGGTCTTAATCCCCCTGAGGATCTAATGGGCAGGGTAAGATGATAATGAAAGGGGCTCCTCCCACATCCGTGTGCTCAGGCACGATGGACACGGGCATCTCCCCAGGAGGAAATCTCTGGTGAGGAGGAAATCTCTGGTACGAGGGGAAATCTCTGGTGAGGAGGAAATCTCTGCTGCAAGGGGAAATCTCTGGCACAGAGGAAATCCCTGGTACAGGAGGAAATCTCTGGTACGTGCCATCCCGCTGAGCCCCACTGCAGGAGCAGGGATGCTCCAGCTGCCCCCAGCTGCTCGGGGACAAGGCAGCAAGAGTGTGACACCTTCCAGCAGCTCAGTGGGACAGGTGCTCCTGCACATCTCCAGCCAACTGAGCCCTTTTCTCACTTCACAGTTCCCTGGAAGGACGCAGCACGATCCAGACTTTCCCAAGTCCCTTTCTCCAGCCTCAGTGGCGTTCTCTCTCTAACGGGTACGCATGGATTAGTCAAAAGCCTGGGACTGCCTCCCAGCAAGATCCTTCACCTCTTCACAGCAGTGCCTGACCACACCAAAACCAGCTATTTTCCACAGCCAGCTCTGTCTGAGCTCTGCAGGGCTGTGACAAATGCCCACGGTGTTCACGTGGCCACCACGTGTCCTTCCAGCACCACGAGTGACTCTGCAGCCACCACTGGGGACTTTCCTGCAGGCCTGAGGTTCCTGCTCCCAGAACGGGTGAGCAGCTCCTCCCCAGGGCCCCCAGGCAGCGCTCAGTCCCTACCTTGCCATCCTTCTCACGTGACTTTTTCCCTTCCATTCATCCTCCTTCTCAAAACAATCTTAGCCCTTCGTTGTGGACCATCCCGGGCAGGCGTCTGGCGCGTTTCTGAGAGAGGAAGAGGAGGAGAGGTCCTGGGCTGCTCATGGACGTCAGCTGCTCGCAGTGTGGTGGGTTTGGAAGGCTCAGAGGTTCTGCAACACGGTCCTGATGTTTGCATGTGGGATTCTGAACCACATCTCTAATCAACAGCACCTACCCCATCGCATGGGAGACCGGGAGAGAACAGAAGGAGGAAGGAGAGGAGAGGAAGCAGGAGGAAAAGAAAGGAAAGGAGAAGGGGAGGAGATGGAACCAGCAACAGCCCTGTGACCTTTATCTCATTCTCCTAAGCACACGTGTCCCCAAGGATGCCAGGCTGGGGATGCTCTGACTCACAGGTGGACAAGCAAGCCCTGGAGCAGCTCCTTCCCCCAGCAGCCCCAGCATGCTGGGATGCTCACTGAGATCTGTTCTCCTGAATCTCAGTCTGGTTTGCTGGACATGAAGAAGAGCCACCAAGCACTGTTCCCTCGCCTTCTCACCAGATCTGCAAGAACACAACCACTGGTGGCCAGAGACAAAGATAAAAGAGGCACCTGCCAAGTGCCACCAGGGATGTCACGGGTGTTCCTCAGGGAGAGCCATCAGGGCACACGAGCTACTCCTTTCCGTGGCTCCACCATGATTAAAGATAAATGCATCATCCTCTAATTAAATCACCTAATCAGGGCCTTGGTGTGGTTCCATCCAGTCCCTCTTGCTGGCCCAGCCTTGGGGCTGTGGGAGAAACTCTGCAGGTTGAGATGCAAAAGGCAAAGAGGTGCTGCCCCCACCTCTGCTGCTCCACGGTTCTTCCAGTGATTTACTCCTCCTGGTAAAATATTTATGCCTTATTTCCAGTGTGTCTGCCCTGCCCTCAGCTGCCAGATATTGATTCTTGCCATCTTTTCTCTGCTCAGTTAACGAGATTTTGGCTAACAGGTATTTTCTCCTCTGTGAGAGTATTTAGATGCTTTTGCCAAGCCTTCCTCTTTCCTCTTTGATTTGATTTATGGGTGGACTCACTGGATGGCCCCCTCCTCTCCACCTATAAGACCCCTTCTGCAGCCCTTTAGTCCCTTCCCCTCAGACTCCACATCTCCTCTGCTGAGAAGGAAAGTTTGGATTTGGCTGCCATAAGCTCAAATTTGGTTCTGACCAGAAATGCAATAATTGCTTTTTATTTTGTTCCCCTGAGCCAAATTTCACATTTTCCTGAAAATTTTCAATTCTCCAGTGCAGAAATGAGGACAGACAAACAGCCACCCTCCCCAAGCTGCTGCCCCTGTGCTGCCTCTCCCAGCATCTGCAGGCAGCTCCAGCTGAAAATTTACCATCCAGATTAGGGACAGGAAACCACGTACAGCCACAGTTATTATTTTTGGGTGTAAAAGATTTCCATGTTCCATTCTGCTCCAGTCAGGATGCTTTTCTCTCACTCAGCTTACCACCCGGATTTGTGCAAACCATTAACACTCAGCTGCTCTGGGTCACATCCAGGTTTTTCCAGAAATCATGTCCATCTCCTTTCTTCCAGATTAGTGGTAAAAACACCAGGTCCATCTTACCAGCTAGCAGTGCCCAGCAGTGATAATCTCCCTGATAACTGCCTTGGAAATGGATCACATTTTGTTTAATACCAGCTTTCTTGACACGGTGCAATGTCAGCTCTAAATACTGGACTGGATTGCCTTTTTTAATACTGGAAAGTGCAGATTTTTACAAGAATATCACCTCCCATAACTCAACTGCTTCTCAGAAGTGTATTACAGCCAGAGAGTCACCTCTCATGCTGGAGTCTGAAATAATTTCTGGCCAGGAGTTATTTTCCATACAGCCACGTTGGATGGCAGGAATTCATTCCTGATGTTGAAGTCTTTAATCAATTGGAGCCCGAGCCAGGTTTCTCCCTCTTCTCCCTGGGGGGATGCTACCAAGCCAATCAACCTGTAGCTACCAGGTCATCTTATTCCCTTTTGGGAAGAGCAACAACACCATTAAAACACTTTTTAATCATCTGGAATTTCCCCAGGGGCTCATCCCAGCACACGGCTGGGTGGTGAGATTGCAGCTATAACCACCCCAGAATAGGAACCAGAAAAGCTGTTTCCTCAGATCTTTGTTGGAAATTTTTCTTTTATTTTCTTTTTCTGCCTTTTTTAATGGAAACCACTGGAGTGGCAGCCCCGGAGTAGCGGCAGTGACCGCAGCCTGGAGGCTGCAAGTGGAGGGAGAGGCCGGAGCTGCAATGTGGAACAAATTAGAACTCGGAGAGCAAAGGAAATGAGAACGCCCTGGTGGCTTTGACGTGCTCTCCTCGGCTCCAAATCCTGCCCCCTGCTCCAAACCCTGCTCCTCTGCAGATGCCATCCCCACAGCCAGGCAGAGCCCGAACCCCTCGGCTCTGACCGGAGCCCCCATTCCCTTCCTTTGGCTCCAGAGCCCGGCCTTGCCCTGTGCGGGTTTATCCACCTAATCTAGGGGCAGAGGGGAGGCTGATGATGTCCGTGGCTCTCTCGGTGCCGTCTTTAGCCGGATCAGGGTGGGTAAACTCCTTACCACGTTATTATTAGCAGCAGGCACCCTGCAGCAGCCCGGACCCCGCAGCCCTGGGACTGCTGAAACGGGATGGAAAACAGCCCCAAAAACACCAATAGCCTGTCCCAAAGGCACCTATCACTCCACAAACATTGTTACAGTCTGATTCCACAAGGACAACAGGAGTCCTTTTAGCAGGTTTTCTTTTCTTGGTGGTTTTTTTTTTCCCCTGTAATTATTTTGCAGGGTTTTTTGAGCCGCCAACGTGCCCCAGCTCTCTGGTAATGCAGCAGTGCAAATGCCAGCCCTCTGCCCGGGCAGCTCTATTCACACACCCCAGAAACCCTGCACAAAAAGCATTTGCTTTCTGCTGCCTCCCGAGCTCCACAGCCTCCGTAGGCTGCCTAATTATAAGACCTTAGCAATAATATTTCTTTTTTTCCAGCGATAATTAACTGGTCCTGGAGAGAGCTGAAAATAAGCAAGTAGCAAACTCCCCTGAGTTTTCCCTGCTAAAGTTACAACTCAGCACGAAACTGCTCCAGCCTCACAGGGACACAGATCATCTCAGCACCTCCCTGCCATGGCCTGGGATGCCACCACAGTCGCAGGCAGCTGAATACAGGTGACACGGAGGGTGTGGGATAGCAGTGGGATCCCAAGGGTCGTGCAAAGGGACAAGGATCCCGAGGGACATGGAATGGGGAGAGGGATCCCGAGGGGTATGGAATGGGGAGAGGGATCCCAGGGAGTGTGCAAGGGGTAGAGGAATCTCAAGGGGCACGCGAGTGGGAGAAGGATCTGGGGAGACAGATCCTGAGGGATACGGAATGGGGACACGCATTCCAAAGAGAGTTCAGTGGGGGGAAGCAGCCCAAGGGGGGGTAGAGCGGGGATGATCCCAAGGGATGTGCGGTGGGACACGGACCCGCAGGGACAGGCGGCGCGGGGAGGGCTCCCCGTGTGCCCGGCCATGGGACAGGGACCCCCGGGCGCTGCGGTTCCCGGCACAGCCCTCCCGCCGGCTCCGCGGGCAGCGCGGGTCTCCCACGGCAACCGGACAAGCCCCGCGCTCCTCCCGCCTCCGCTTCCCAGGGGACGAGAAACAAACGCTGCCGCCCGGTGCAGCGGGGACGCCACAGCGGGGATCCGCCCCCCAGGACAGGGGGGTCCCTGGGGTAGGGTCCGCCTTCGCCCCCCGCGCCCCCCGGCCCCGGTACTCACCGTCGGAGCGGGGCAGGCTCGGCGCGACCCCGGCGGCGGCAGCGCCCGGAGCCGCCCGGAGCCGCCGGGGCTGCGCGGGGACCTCGGGCCGGTCCCGTCCCGCCGGGGCGGAGCGAGCGCGGCTGCGGCGCCCCCGCGCGGCCGCCACCGGAACTGCCCGCAGCCACCGGGAACGGAGCGTCGGGATCGGGGAGAGGGAAGGGATGAGGGGAAGGTCGGGATTTGGGAGAGGCTCTGTACTGGGAAAGAGTCGGGATAGGGGAAAGATCGGGCTCTGGGGAAGGGTCGGGATAAGGGAGAGGGTCAGGATTTGGGGAAGGATCTGTACTGGGAAGGGTCGGGATTTGGGGAAGGGTTGGCCCTGGGAAAGGGTCATGTTATGGGGTGGGTTGGCACTGGGAAAGGGTCGGGATATGGGAAGGGCCTGGATGTGGGAAGGGGTTTCTGCCCCACTCTCTGAGAGCCCACCCGGGCCCTGCTTGCAGTGCTGGGTCTGCAGCACAGACAGACGTGGAGCTGTTGGAGTGAGGCTGCAAAGGTGCTCCAAGGGCTGGAGCACCTCTCCTATGGAGCCAGACTAGGAGATGATCAGGATGGAGAAGAGAAGGCTCCAGGGACACCTTAGAGCCCTTTCCTGCCTAAAGGGGTTCCAAAAAAGATGGGGAGGGACTTTGGGCATGGAGTGACAGGACAAGGGGAAATGGATTCCCACTGACAGAGGGCAGGGTTAGATGGAATATTGGAATAAATAATATTGGAATAAATTCTTGCCTGTGAGGGTGGTGAGGCCCTGGCACAGGTTGCCCAGAGAAGCTGTGGTTGCCACATCCCTGGAAGTGTTCCAGGCTGGGTTGGAAGTGGCTTTGATCATCTTGGTCTAGAGGAAGGTGTCCTTGCCCAGGGCAGGGGTTGGAACAAGATGAGCTTTGAGGTTCCTTCCAACCCAGGCACTTCTAGGATTCTGTGAAATTGCCAGGAGCAAGCCAGGCCAGGCTCTGCAGGCAGCAGCACCTCAGCTGCACAGGCTGGCTTTGGCCAAACAGGTTTTATCAAAGCAGCTCCAGAGCTGACCTGGAGACTGCTGGGGGTGCACACAGGCTGGTGCCTGGCAGGGGTAAGGGATGGATCATTACTGCACTGGGCACTTGTTCAGGGTGAGATGGTCACTGTTGCTCCGCTTCCCTCAGTGAAAATGTCTCCTTTTGGTTAAGGGTGCTTCCCTGTCCAGGGGTGCTCTGGGTGGGAAAGCAATTCTGCCACCCAGACACCCTCTGGGAACGACAGCACCAAAGCAAAGCAGAGCCAGGAGTGCTCCCAGTCCAGCCCAATTGCCAGCAGCACAGCAATGATGGGCGAGGTGGAAGTTGTGGGTCAGGTTTGGGGGTGAGTTCAGCTGCCCCTGGAAGCAGGCAACCCTCCCTGGCTCTCTGGGAAAGCTGCTGAGCCTGGGGGAATGCAGCCATGTGTAATTATGGCAGACAGGGCTTGTGCAGAGCCCAGGCCAGGCAGCTCCAGCATGGGGGCAAATTCTCCCTCTCCCAGAGGAGCCAGTGCCCACAGGAGAGGCTGGTGGGGTCATCAGGGGGCTGTGCTACCCCCTGCCCTGTCTGCCACAGATTTTCTCCCCCTCTGTGACTCTGGCATCCTTCATCCCCTCAGTGCCAGCCCTGGGGCTCCGCTCGTCAGCCGCTGACTCAGCCACGAGGAAGGGAAAGGGCTGGAGCAGGCTGTGCTGAAGCTGCCGTGGTGAGATGCTGCTGCTGAGCCTTCAGCCAGCACCTCAGGGCACAGGGGCACTGCCAGCAAACTCACTGATTGATTGATTGATTGATTTGTTTGTTTGTTTGTTTGTTTGTTCAGCAGCTGGCAGTGCCATCCCTGCACCAAGGTGAGTCAGTGCTCAGCACCCCAGTGCCATCCCTGCAGGTGGCTGAGTGGCTCCTCTCCTCACCAGGCAGCAAAGCCACGTGGGATGAGTCAGACAGAAAATGAGTTTATTTCCAGATGCTGCAGGGGAACTAATTTTGATTTAACAAGCAGGCAAGAGTGAGGTATCTTGAGTTTTTATTTCGATCCTACTCCACAGGAAACAACATCCACTAGAGTTATCTTCCTTACAATTGTTTGTATTTGACCCAATACTGTGTTAAATATAAAATACCGATTGAACAAGGATGGATGGTGAAAAACATGAGATGCTAAAAAGATCCCTCGAGCCCTCCTCCAGAAACATCCTGAATGTTACGAGTCATTTAAAATTAGTATAAAACAGGAGGACAATCCAATCACTTGCTCTGTGCCCCCCATGCTTTGCAAGGGGAGGATTTAGGAGCAAGAGGAGAGGGGGAGCCTCTCACTTACAGAGAAGCTCACTGCACATCCAGGCTGAAGGCAGGGTGTCCAACAGAGCCTGCACATCCACTCCTGCCCAGGAATCCTGCCCTGGATTTTCAGCAGGAGACTGAGATGGAGCAGCCTCAGAAAGGTCCTCTGGCACTCGCTGTGCCTCAGGAGCCCTTGGGACAGATTGAGGGCCAAAAGACCACAAATGGCAAAAGAGTTTCTGAGATAAATCCCTTGGGGTGAAGCTCAGGGCGGTATCCCTGGGCATCCTCAGCCCTGCCAGGGACATTGGCCTGGGGCTGGCAGTGCTGTTTGCCTGCTCCAACTCCAGGGTGGCTCCCCATGGTGTTTGGGGACACAGGGAGAGCAGAGCTGGAGTTGTCACTGTGCCCTGGGGTGGCTCTGGGGACCTGCTCCCCCAGAGCCAGGGAATATTGAAGCAGGAGTTTGTGCAGCTCTGGCTGTCCTCCAAGTGCTTCACGGGATCCTCACACGAGCCCTGTGAGGTAGGTCAGGGTCTGCACCCCCATTTTACAGATGGGGAAACTGAGGCACAGAGAAGGGTAATGACTTGCCAGACAGGAAATATGGCATCTCCCATCCTGGGATCTCTGCATCCTGCTATTCCAACCCTGGATGTGCTCAATCAGCTGCTGGTTACTCACAGCTCATCCTTCTCCACCTGCAGCAGGTGGCAGGGCCAGGGCTGGGCAGAGCAGCAGCAGAGTCTGGGCTCACACCAGCTCCTTCACCCCGTCCCTGAGACCACCCATCATCCCAGGGCAGCCCCAGCCCAAAGGATGCTTTGGGCACAGAGCCCCAGCAGCCCCAAACCAGGCTGGGGTGCCAGGGACAGCTCCCAGAGCCTTCTACAGGCACCTCCTGCCTGTGGAAGTGAAAACCCAGCAGATATTTTTGTCAGCCTGACAACCACAGGCATCACATCAGGAGGGGGTGAGCATCCAGATGTTTCCTCTTTGGTGATGTGCTGCACAGTGGCACAGCCCTGGAGAGCCAGGCCTGGGGTGCCACAGGCTGGGGGCCCTCAGCTCTGCTCAGCTCCCTGCAATGCTGCTGGAGAGACAGGAGATGTGGGATGGTGGCCACAAATCTCCTTCACTTGCCACATGGTGCCAGAGGCTGCAGCTGTGATTAATCAAAGGCCAAAAAGAGGTGATGGGCAACTGATTCCTTTGAGGCTGGTGGGGAAGGTGCAGGCACAGCCCAACACACACCACCACACCCTCCTGGCTCCAGCAGCTCTGCCAGGGTGTTTGGGAAGCAGGATCTGGTGTGGTTTAGCCATTCTGCTGCTCCCAGCAGCTGGATGGATGTTCCATGGTTAGGCATCTGAAAACTGAGTGTCACTGGGATCTCTCCATCACAGCTCACACCCAGGCTTTGTGTGGATGCATTCCTGCCCTGCAGCAATCCTGAGAATGCCAGGAATCTTTCCAAAAGTGGAATTAAATCTGATGAGCAATAGTTTCATCAGCAAATAGGAGCAGAGAAGGCAGGTAGCCCCGTGATCCCAGTCCAGGGAGGATCTCTTCCCTCCCTCCAGGAGAAAGGGACTCCCCTGGGCTGACCCCAGCCAGGGAGATGCCAGGAGCTGGATCCCAGCTCTGCTCCCTGCTGAAGGCACACGTGCAGCAGGGCCTGGGAGCTGGGCTGTGCTTCAGGCTGCCACTGGAGAGGAAAACCGAGCATTCCAGGGAGAAAATGTCCACAGGGGATCCCAGGGATGTATGGATGAGTTGTGCACTTCACATTGGCTTAGAGAAAGGCTTTCCCAGTGCTCAGGGACTGGGATGCCCTGGAAGAGATTCAAGTTTCAATCTCTTGTAAGGCTTGTTGAGTATGGACCATCCCCTCAAGGGCTTGGGACGGAGCTGTTGATGCTGGCAGGACTCAGGACGATTTAGGAGCCAGACCAGGTGGTGCAGGGGTGTCACCACATCCCTCTCCACCACTGGGGCTCTCCACTCACCCTGACTCCTCCAGTCCCCTCAGTGGCACATCTAGGGACTCCAGGAGCCAAACCCAGGGTGTCATAGCTGAGGCATGTGAGGCCAAGGTTCCCAGTCCCATGGGATGCTCAAGACCAGGTGAGTGAGCAAAGCTCCAGTGAGTGGTCACTCCTACCACCCACAGCCCAGTCACTCACTGTGTTCTGAAAACTTTGCCTAAAAAAATAAACAGTTCCCGAGCTTAAAAAAGAAAAACATTTAAAATCAACCTCCAGGCTCTCCTGTCTGTGCAGGAAGGGCACCAACAGCTGCTGTCCACGGGGCCAGGGGGTGGGTTGGGGCGAGCCCGCTGTGTCACCAGTGCCCTGTGTGTCCCCACGTGCCAGGTGGCACAAACAACGTCTCTAAGGCTTCTACCGAGGGGAGGTTTTCGTGTCCAGTGCCCCAGGCTGGTACAGGTACCTCCAGATGGCATAGTAGTGGGTGCCAGCTCCCATGGCCACGAAGAGGTGCCAGATGGCGTGGGCGAAGGGGATGCGCCCGTCGCTCTTGAAGAACACCATGCCCAGGCAGTAGAAGAAGCCACCAGCCACCAGCTCCAGGAGGCCGTCCCTGTTGGGCTGGGGGCAGGCAATGCTCAGTGAGGCCAAGGCAGGCTGCCCTCTCCCCACCACCCCACTGAGACCACAAGGGGTGTCCAGCTGCAGCTCTGGGTTCCTCTGCCTGCTGCTACACCCTTCTCTCCAGCAAGGCAGCAAGGAACCAGCAGCCCTGGGAGAAATGGAACTAGATGGTCTGAAATGGAGCTAGATGGTCGGAAATGGAACTAGATGGTCTGAAATGGAGCTAGATGGTCTGAAATGGAACTAGATGGTCTGAAATGGAGCTAGATGGTCTGAAGTGGAACCAGATGATCTTTAAGGTCCCTTCCAATCCTATGATTCTGTGACCCTACAATTTTCAAACAGAGTCCAGGAAGGAGATCTGGGAGGGATGCACACGATGCTGCCAGGCACCCAAAGCACCTGCAGAACCAAGGTGAGCCACTCACATCAGGGATGGCTTTATCCCTCACACAGCCTGGACACTGCACCAAATTGCTCTGAGTTTTCAAACCCCTCCTGGGATTTGTCCCTCAGGCTGAGCCCAAGTAGAGCCTTACCATGGAGAGGATGACCAAGGCGGGGAAGAAGCCCATGATAACGTAGCACACCAGCTCCACTAGCTTGTACCTGTGACAGACAGACAGACAGACAGAGGCAGCTTGGAGCAGGAAGGCTGAGTTTTATGCTTGACATTTCCACAGCAGTGCTACGGGGGAAGGGGTGGCAGTGCCATCACAGCAGGTCCCATGTCCTCATGAGCGGACTGGCTTGGGACCTGGCACTTGGGACTCCGGGGTGACATCTGGGGCTTTTGGCTTTTTATTTGGTGCCACCACGTGGAGGAAGGAAGGAACTCGTGGCAGCAGTGCCTGCTCCTGGCCCGGGTCCCGCACGCCCTCCAGCCCGGGGCTGCAGGCACTCACCGCTCGTGGAAGAAGAAAACGTAGACGGTGCCGACGGATGCCATGATCCAGATGATCCAGCGCATGTGGGACGCCCAGGGACCCAGCTCCCGCAGGTTCAACCTGCAAAACCAGGGCTGGGGTGAGGGGGGTCCAGGGCAGCACCCTGGACTGGGCTCAGCCCCTCACCCCCGTGGCTGTCCCACCACAGGGTCTTCCCAAATTGTAACTTCAAGAGGCTGGAATCCATAGGGTGTTGTGGAAAGGGGTGAGGTACAACCTCAAGAAGAAGCAAAGCCGGAGGGGGAAACCCTCTTTGTTGGAACCAGGATGATTTTTTTCCCCTTCATTTGGGCCAGGTGAAGGCCCCCAGCCACCAGCAACTCACCAGGGAGCGTAGGAGGCGGCGATGAAGAAGTAAATCACCATCCTGTCAAACATGTGCAGGCAGTGCTCCACAGTCCTGCAGGACAGACAGATGGGTCACAGCTCTGGGGGCATCTGGACCCTCTCCCCCTTCCCAAGCAGTCAGGGATGGTACCTGAGATGCCTCTTCTTCCAGGAGATGGTGTGGAAGATGGTGGAGACAATGAAGAGGCTGGACAAGCCAAAGCCATAGATCCAGGCTGAGATGGTTTCCCACTGGTCATCAGAGAGGATATAGAGGATGGAGCTGCCAAGGATGCTGGGCAGGATCCAGAGCTGGAAGGGGAAGCAAACCCACTGATGACTCTCTGCATTTCCATTGAGTAGCTACAACAGAGCCTCCACTTTTTTTTTTAGGTATTTCTTTAGCTTCTGGTCAAAGCTACCACCCCTAAGGGGCAGGCAGGGTCCCTCCCTGCATGATGCAGCTCCAAAATAGTTTGTCCAGAAGGTAGGGAGGAGGAGGAGGAGGAAGGCACAAGGAGGATGACTGTCTCTGAGTCATCTCCCAGGACTCAGAGTGGGAACTGTCAGCTCCAAAAGAAACCCTGGTGGGGGGAGAGGTCCCTCCCACCGCTGCACAGGCAGCCCCATGGGCACCTGTCACAGCTCTTGCTGTGAAACAATCCATTTTCAGGGAGCTTTGAAAATACTCCTGCCCCACCAAGCCCAGCTTCCCCAGGGACATGGGGCCACAGTGGGGGAGAGCAAGGGAGGTGAAAATCAAATTCCCATGGTGGGAGGAGGGAGAACATCCCAATCCCCAGGAGCACACAGAGCATATCTGCCTCAGGCTATCAGTGACTGCCCCAGGGCTGAACACAGATGTTTTTGGGTGTCCCTTGAGGTTCCTCAGTGGATCCCCAGAGGGATGAGCACTCAGGATCCAGGGACAGGGACTCACAGCGTGGGTGGCAGTGTTGGCTGCATGCTCATATTCCGTGGGCTGGTACCTGCAGTTGGACGGGACACGGTGATTCATGAACCTGCAGAGAGAGATGGGGAGAGAAACACACTCAGGGGACAGGGATGGAGCAAAACCCTTCTGGAAGGGCCTGCTCAGGGCCTGCAGCCCTCCCATGGCTCAGCTTTGCTCCAGCTGCCCTGCAGAAGGGACAGCGGAGCACAGCTTGTTCGTATGGCTGTCTCCATGTGCCCAGGTCTTGCTCAGCCATGGCTGCGGCTGAAGCAGCTCCTGGCAGTCCTGGTGGGACCCCAACCCATCCAGGGGTGACACCTTCATGTCACAGCAGCATGGCCAGCTCCAAAAAGGGGATCCCTGCATTGCCTTTGGTTTCTGGGTACCCCCTGCATCTCCCTCCTACCCCCAGGGCTGCACATCCCAACACACATGTGAAAAGCCTACTGCCCTCCCTTGGAAACCTGCATCTTTATTTTTGTTTCTCTTAGTCTTAGGAGGCATCAGCTTGCTCTTGGTGTTCACAGGAATGTATTGATTTCCCTGCTGGACCAACAGACAGAGATAAAAAACAGTGCCACTGCATTTCTGGGTGTGTAACAACAAATTAAATGTGCATAAATAACAGCTCTGAGCACAGCCTCATCCACCACCCTCTTCTGGCAGGAGAAAGCAGTGGAGCCTTAGCAAAGGGAATGAGGAGCAGGGAAATGGAGAGGGTTCCTTCTCTGCTCCTCAAATTCTGGGATTTTAGGACTTTTCCTGCTGTGGCTCAGATCAGGGAGGCCGAGCTGAGCTGCAGGGCAGGACCTGGGCTAATTGCTCTGTGACCCTGCTTGCCCCCAGCTCCAGCACCATCTGCAGCCTTTCACAGCTGAGTTGTGCCCAGCAAAGGGGCTCAGGGGCTGGCACAACCTTGCTGCTGGGCACAGGGTGATGCCTCAGGCCGGGATGCTTGGAAAGGCAGGAAATGTCCCCTCTCCCTGTCCCCAAGCCACCCACGCCTGTGTGGGCTCCCCTGCCATCTCCTGCCTGCTTGGCCCCCCTGCCTGAGCCACGGCCTGTTAAAACTGAACCAGGATGGATTAAATAGCTCAAATGACAAAGATTTGGTGTGGGGGGAATTGTGCAACCACAGCAGGGTGAGGGGAGCCCCAGCAGGTGACAATGACAGAGGGGCCCTGTCCCCAGCCCCTGCTCTATCTCCTGCCCAACCCTGGCACTGTGGGGAGACAGTCATGATCCTCATCAGCAAAAAATGTCTGGAATTAAGGGGGGGAATGGAGGGGCCAAGCTGCCACTGCTCTGCTCCCCAGGGCTCACAGGGGGCTCAGCAGGGCTGGGAAGAATCTGGGCTCCCCTGGGGACATGGCTGTGCCCAGAGCACTGTCACCTCCTCCCCAGGGACACCAGGGATGCCCTCCCCATGCCACCACTGCAGGCACAAGGGCTGGCAGGGCTGCCTGTGCCATGTCCCCCTGGCAGGAGGAGGTTGCTGTCCCCAGCGTTGCCAGGAGACTGTCCCCAGCTCCCCTCCACTGTCTGCTTCCCTTTATTTTCCCTTTTAATAACCAGGAGGAGGGGGAAGAGGGGAGGCCAGACGTCCACATGACGTCACAGTTGCTGAGGAAACACGTTCAAGGCCTTTTCCTTGGATTTATTGATTTTAACAAAGCCTGCTCCATCTTCCCTCTGCTCTGGCTGGTGCTGTTCACAGCAGCAACACAGAACCAATTCCACAGATCCAATTCCACACCCCTCTCCCCAGGGCTGGGGGGCTCCCAGACACTTTGGGAAGGTTTTTCTTGGGTGTAAATATCCTCCCTAGCTCTGGCACAGGGTAGAGATGCTGGGAAGGACCACCCAAACCATGTCCATGTCACAAGGCTGGAGAGAATTTATGTTCCTGCAGCCCAGAGCCGTGCTAGTGAGGGGCACCACAAACTCCTGCTTTTTCCAGAGGGACAACAGCCTTGAGGAGGAACCTTTATTTTTGGACATGGGGAGAGATTGCTCTTATTTTCCTGCCCTGCTTTCTAGTAAGCATCATCTTGTGGATGGTGGGAATGGAGCATCAGGGATGTGGGATCTGGTGGGTCAGCCTGAGCCCCATTTTTGGGACCTGCATTGTGTTTTGGGGCTAATTTGGCACATTTCTGTGGTCCTCTATGGTCTTGCTTTGCCAGGGTGGGAAGAAGGGAAGAAGAGGAGAAAGGGATAGAGTTAAGTTTTTCCTCAGGAGGGCTCGTGTGGGACTCTGAGCTCTCCTGAGGGCACCAAGAGAACCTGAATCAGTCACTCCATGGTCACCTCTCTGTAGAAACGGGAGCAGCTGGTGTTGGCACATCTCCTGGCAAGGCAGGATAAGTCCCTTATTTCCCCTTATTTCCAGGGGTTCAGAGGTCACTTCCTCCCCTACTCCCCCAGGATTTTATGGATCACCTCGTGCCATCCCTGTGCACACTGGCATGGGTGCAGGGCATGGGGAGCCCTGCAGCATTACCAGCCTGCAGATAGTTGCCATAGCAGTGTGCAGAACCAGCTCCAGCCTGGACAGACAGATGGATAGGCTTGGAAGCAGCACTGGTGATTGTTGGGTGCAGGAAGGCACCAGCAGGTGCTCACACAGCACTGGGTGCTCCAGTGCAGCTCAGCAGGTGCTTCAGGATGGCAAATCAAGACCCAGAGAAGCTCAAAGACTCTGGAGAGCAGGAGCAGGAGCAGGATCATGTTCACTCCCAGGGATGCTGTGTGGGAAGCAGGGAACCAAAGGGTTCCCGGGCACCTTCTCCTCCTGGTGCTGCTCCTGGCACACCCCTACAACTGCTGTATGAAGAGGGGGCAGCCCAGGGGTTATTCACAGCAATCCCAGGGTTTTTGCCCGCCCTGCTTTGCCCTGGCCCCTTTCCCAGGGAGGGAGCCTGAAAAGGGCCAGTACAGCAGCTCTGGCCAGGGAAACAATGAGCCCCTTGTCCCTGGGCAGAGTGCAGAGCTGCCTTCCCAGGCCTGCTCCTTTCTCCTGCTCTTTCTCCCACTCTCTTCGGTTGGGGTGGTTTTTTTAATATGGCTTTAGGGGTTCTTACTGAGTTTTTAAAAGACTTTTGTCCACCAACAAAATTCCAGCCTCCAAAATCGCACAGATCTGCCAGGCTCTTGCTTTGCCAGGGTGGGAAGAAGGGAAGAAAGGGATAGAGTTAAATTATTCCTCAGGAGGGCTCATGTGGGGCTCTGAGCTCTCCTGAGGGCACCAAGAGAACCTGAATCAGTCACTCCATGGTCATCACACACTCACTCAAGCAGAGCCATGGGACACTTGCAGGAAAGCTGTCCCCTGCACACATGAGGGGATCTACCCCAAAAGAGACCCCAGCCAGGCTGCAGTTTGGGAGAGATGGGATTTAGCCCTGCCTTTGACACAACTCCCTGGATGACCTCTGCCACATGTCTTTGTGTCCCTCTCACTCCCCTTTTCCCTCTCTCCAAGTGAGGATAATAATTTTGACATCCTTCAGGCAAGCCATTGGTGGATAATGTGAGGAAGGTGTAAAATCACCACAAAGATGTGGATGGGGAGGTGTGAGCTGGGCTTCTGCCCTTGGAAAGAGCTGCTCCAACACCTGCTATAAATCAGGTAGTGCATGTGTCTGTGTGTCTGTGTGTCTGTGTGTCTGTGCACTGTGGGCTGGGTGCCATGGGGACAAAGGAGCAGTCAGCAAGCCCAAGGTCATCCCAGGTGATACAAATTTCCCCAGAGCAGCTCACCTCCACAGGTTTCACCTGCAAATGGATTATAAAAGGGCTGGGCTTGCTCAGGAGCTGGCCTGGAGCCTGTGGAGATGGGTTTGTTGTGCATCCACCCTCCTGCCCAAGGAGCTGGGGCTTCTTCAAGCTCTGTTCCTTGCTGGGCAGTTCTGGGATCTGGCTGCAAAGGAAGAGAATTTCTCCTTCTTCTTGTGCCTGGATGTCACAGCTGCTTTAAAAATAACAGAGGAAGATGCTGGTGGTGTCAGAGAGGAAGGATTTGCTGGATGTTGATCAGCAATGGAGGTAAGTCCTGCTGAGGCCGTCCCCTGCTAGAACAAGTGTTGTGATGCCTGAGGTGTCAGTGATGGAGCAGATGTGTCCCTGCAGGGCAGATCTCACTCTCTCACTCCTCAGGGCCTGGCCTGGGGTTGCTCTGACAGCCCTGGGGCTGCACACCCAGCACAGATGGCAGGGCTGGTCCCAGGGCTCACATGGGAGCTGCTGTAGTATGGCATCCCCTAAGCTGGGGCTTGGCAAGGCCCTGCCTCTGATCTGGGATCTGCTCAGGCTCCGGCTGCATCCCTGGTAAGAGGCTTCAATCCCCTGAGCTGCTGTGTGGTTTGTAATTAGCTGAGTCCTGTGTGTGCTGGCGTGGGGCCTGGCTGCTGCTTGTGTCCAGCTCACCACCACAGGGCCCACAAGGTGCAGGAGCACCAGGAAACCCCCATGGCCCATCTGGAGCCTGGGAGATCCCCCAGACTTTACTGCTTTATCCAGCCTAGGAGCCTGTGAAATCCTGCTTTTCCTTCCTACCCATTGACTTGGGAATGTTTGCCATGGCTGCTGCTTGTGTCCAGCTCACCACCACAGGGCCCACAAGGTGCAGGAGCACCTGGAAATCCCAGGAGCCCAGGAGATCCCCCAGACTTTACTGCTTTATCCAGCCCAGGAGCACTTGTTAAACCCTGCTTTTCCTTTTCCCATTGACTCAGGAATGTTTGCCACGGGAAGCAGAAACACCAAGGCTGGCACTGCCCAGCAGTGCCATCTGCAGTGCCACCCACATGGGCACGGGTGGCACCTGCAGGGGGCTGGATCCTCCCTTCTGTGCCCATTCCTCAGAGCTGCCTGCTCCCACGCTCACAGATGGTTCTTTGCTTTGCAGAGCTGGGCTGGAGCAGCTCCTGGGCCAGGCCTGGCCTTGGGCTCTTCCTGTGACTCCCATCCATGGGAGAGGGGCAGCAGGGCTGAGGGAGCAGAGCAGGACAGCTCAGGGGTTTCTTTTTGTCACACTTCCTAGCACAAGGAGCTGGCAGCTTGGGC